TGTTGATCTGCTGTTTCCACCTGTCTATCATCTGTAGGGTTGCCAGATCTCATATATTTGGTATGAGTATTAGATATTTAAAGAAAATCTCATACCTCATACCAAGTATTAAATATATGAGATAATCTCATATATTTTCATTTTAACCGCCATTTCGAATTCTGTACTCTGCACTTTAGACGCAGAAACTTAAATTCGAATTCCAATAATTCAGAGTCTACTGTCTAACATGTATGCAAAGTTGTCGGCTGAATCATGACAAAAAAGTGGTGCAGAAACGTCAAATTAGAGACGCGATTAAATTAAATATTAATTCGAGCTTCTGTAAACTCGGCCTAAAACGTCTCATATATTTTTAACTGATCTCATATATATTTTTCCATGGAACTCATATATACCTTCTGAAAAAATCTGGCAACCCTAATCATCTGTCATCTGTTTATTGACAACTTTATTAGACATATCATCTCCCAAACTGGTCCATTGAGATTGCAAAGGAACTTTGGATATACTTTGTAAGGCTATCGAGTTTTAAACGATAATCAAATTTATTTGTTCATCCCCACCAACCATTTGATGACGTCTGTCAAAATTTTGCTAGGTAAATTATAGTATGATTTTATAAAACAATATACGTAATGCTTGTATATAAGCTTATGGTTTATTTTTCATCTAGATTTTTAGAAAAAGTCAAAATTGTAGCAGAGAATTTGACACTCTGCCTTTATACAAAACCAACTACTCAAAAATATCGGAAACTAATCAAAATGTATCTGTTTATCCCCTTCAAAAACTTCATGATGTTTTCCCAAAATTTTGCAAGACAATCTCTTTCTTGTGGCTTATTAATCTACTGATATTTTTACCAAAATACAATGATAGTTGAACAAAATTTGTCTATTCATGTCCGACAAAATTTTGGAGACGTCGTTTCAAATGTTTGCTTAATAAATCCGATTTAAATTGTGTAAATCGGTATGCATCTATACTTGGCATTTATTAGTACACCCAAAAAATAAATAATAATAAAATTGGTCAAATCTACTTTTACTTATAATAATAATTTATCTAAGAAACTGGATTTGTTTGAGTTTCAGATACGAGGAAAATTCTGTATAAATGACTTTAGAGCAATTTTTTTTTCAATTTTTACTTCTCGAGCATAAGCTGTAGAAATATTATAATAGGGGCGACTGGCTACTTTTATGTTTTCTCAAAGTTTCATGACCTCTAGAGTACGAAAAAATAGGTTTCTCGTTTTTGTCTGCCTGTCTGTCGTCTGTAAAATGTTGTCTTTCTCAATTTTTTCCAAGTAGATAATTTTTGAAATTACCAGATCGACTGTTGTCAAATTTTATTCGTATGTTAGGAGTATCGTGTACATGGTAAAACATTGATCAAAAGTAGTCTAATCATCCCCACCAACCATGGGATGACGTCAACTCCAAAATTTACAATAGTTATTGTTATTTCAATTTTATAAAATATCATATTCCTGTGGTTTCTGAATTCGTGTTGAGTTTTTACCTTGGACATCCAGATTTTTGAAAAAAAACATTTTGTAGATTAACTTCAAACTGCAGAACCGAATGCCCTGAATTCGTGCAAACGTATTAATGTTACCAAAAGCATAGTAAATCGTTAATCAAAATTTATCCCCGTTATCTCCTTCAAACAAATTGATGACGTCATCTCAAAATTTTGCCCCAATAAACCCTATTTAAAATATGCGAAATATTATGTCTCTATATTTATCAATACATTCATGGTCACCTTTTTTTGTCTTCTTTGTCGCTTTAATGTCACATTTTTGTGGCCCTTCTTGTTGTCTATTTTTAACCTTTTTTGGCGCTTCTTTGTCTTCAACTTTATTGTCTGTTTTGTCCTCTTTTCGTCGCTTGTTCTAACTGCTAATCAAAATTTTGACTTTTAGCATTGATGAAGTTGATGAAAATTTTGCCACTGATTTTTTTGTTCTTTTCCTGTGCTTTCCTACTCTCCTTTTTTTATGCCTTTTTTGTCGTTTTTTGTTCCCTTCTTGCTTCCCGTAATCGAAGAAAGTATTGTAATCGAGTCCATCGGCCGACTCTCTACTTTTACGTTTTCTCGATCTTTCATGACCCCTACAGTACGAAGAAATAGGACTCCCGTTTCCATCTGTCTGTCCGTCTGTTTGTCCGTCTGTCTGTCCGTCCGTCTGTCCGTCTGTCTGTCCGTCTGTCTGTCCGTCTGTCTGTCCGTCTGTCTGTCCGTCTGTCTGTCTGTCCGTGCGTCTGCCCGTCTGTCTGTCTGCCGTCCCGGATTTTAATTAGACAAATAATCTCCGAAAGTACTGAGTCGATTGTTGTTAAATTTTGTATTTATATTAGGAATATCATGTAGATGGTAACACACTAACCAAAATTTGTCTAATCATCGCCACCAATAATGTGATGACGTCACTTCAAAATTGTACATAGTAAATTGGTTTTAAATTGTATGAAAAATAACATAGTCCTACACATGTAGTTTATGATTCCGTGTTGAGTTTCTACCCGAAATATAATAATTTTTTCTTAAAATTTTGCCGGATAAATTCTGTCTAAAATATATAGAATATGATCAGTCTGTACTTGTGATTTATCACTGCAGTTATATTTTTTAGATTTGCTTCAACAGGGTCACAGGGTAACTCAAAAAAATTAATGACTGAGTTATTAAAAAATAAACGTCCAATCAGTTTAAGGAATTTAACTCGTTGCTATGGAATTTTACAATTTAACACCTTTTAATTTTAACAAGGTTTTACAAGTTTAATAGGGGCAAAATCGGTCTTATCTTAGCAAGTGCTAGAACCGCCCACCCGCCCTTATTTTCTCAGAGGATATGTCATTTGCCAAAATAAGTTTTACCTTAACAAGTACTAGCAAGTACTACCCTCTGAGAAAATAAAGGGCGGGTGGGCGGGGCTACTACTTGGTAAGGTCACACTGATTTTGGCAAATGGCATACCCTCTAAGAAAGTAAAGGGAGGGTGGGCAGGGTTGGTACTTGCTAAGACAAGACTTGTACTTGTGAAATTTAAGGGTGTTTAAAAATTGCAAATTTCCGTAGTAACGAGTTAAATTCCTAACTCTACCCGAAATATGCAAAATATCATGAGTTTTTACTTGTGAGTTATCATTGCATTCATATTTTTTAAATTTGCTTATACAGGTGATTAAAAAAAATTAATGAATGTATCAATTTATTTTATTGATTAAATCAGGGACGGCTCACTCCATTTTCCCAGAAAATTTTGGGAATACAATACTGTTATTTTTAGATTACAGTGCACCAATCCAAATTGATATATGTGTCCTTGACAAAATGTTGATGACCTCATCACAAAATTCTGTAGAGTAAAAACTCCACTCAAAAATGCTGGGTATGTTTCACTGTAGTTTAAGGTGCGAGGGAAGTTCTGTCGAAACAGATTTCGACCAATTTGTCTAGCTTTTTTGACATCTTTCTTGTCGCTTTTCTGTTGTAGTTTTTTTGTCCCGTTTTTTGGGGACGTTTTTTTTTTAGTTTTTGTCCCTTTGTTATCGCGTTTTTCAATTTGTCATGGATTTTTTTTGTTCCTTTTGCTTATTCTTTGTTCTTTTGGCGCCTTTTTTTCGTTGGTCTGTTGTCCTTTTTACAGGTCTTTTTTTTATTTTTGACTAGGGTGGTGGAGAAGGCAAAATCTTAAAACTATGATTCTCGTTGGTGCACTATACTTATAATTGATCAAAATCTTAACTATAACATTAAATATGATAAATACAATAAAATAATTGTGATTTTTTATTTTTAGGAGTTTTGTCTAAAATTAACATAAAATTTGCAAATCTAATTGTCGAGTTTTTCGTTTCTTAAAAATCAGAAGTCAGGTTTATCGAAACAGAACGAAAAATTACGTAATCGTCGTTCTGTGGGACTGAAATAACGCAGCAAAATAATCCTTTAATTATGTACACATTACACATATCTTGGCGTAATATCTTTTGGCGAGGTATTTCGAGCAAAAGCAATTAAAATCGAGATTCGTCGACCTACACCATTCCGAGGTGCAAAAATCGAAAACGGTCGTAAAACGTCTTTCTCAGTAGATTTGATAACGAGATTTCGGTTGGAGGATTTTTTGTCAGCGAACGTCGGGTCGTATTTTATTAAACGCATCAACGTTGAGAGACTCGTAAAACATAACAAGCTAAAAATTCGAGGCACACTCTGGAATAATAAAAGATAAAAGTTGATAGCCGGTCATAATTTCACCCAATTACAGGATATTCTCAACTTATCATCCACCATCTTTACGAGCCGCGTGCTAAGTACTCCTGGTACTTAATCCGACTTTTCCAGCGACAGATTTCACTTCGTGTTGCAATCCGAAAAAGAACCACCGAAATATCGATGTCACCGGTGAGGTTTTATTAAAACCCAGATCGGCTCGGTACGACTTCCTGCGCCGACCATCAGATCGAAACAAATTGATTTAATTAAAGAATATGCCTGGCACGACCGCGAGTTTATAGTCAATTAAATGATTTCAAATTAATTACAGAATTTTATAATGCCTGAAAAGCGACGTTTTAATTAATTTTTTATCTCGCCGTGGACTGTCAATTTGTTTGGTGCAACTTCGGTCGTGATCACCGATCGTTCCGATTCGATTCGGTATTAGAATTTAAAAGTGTCCGAGTTTATGATGAATCGTCGATTAAAATTTTACGATTGAGTCGCATCATGTCAAAACTGACGATTTAATTTAAAATATCACAAATATATCGCCGGCCCAATCTAAATGGCCCATTTGTCGCGGATGTTTTGACGTCCAAAAATAATGATTAAGGCGAGACGCCCATAAATCATTTTGTACCAACACGACCTTTTTGTCTATTAGGAGCGATTTTATCTGGAACAGTAATTCGATGGATGGGCCCCTCCTCCTCCCTGCCATCTGGGTCAACATTCATTCATCGGCCAAAAAGATAGAATTCACACGACACATGCTGTTATTATTTGGAACATTGAACTGACAACAAAAAGTGACTCGGACTAAACGGAAACTACTTAGGACGCTGATGCTTGTCAGAGCTTCTGAAACAAAGAGCAAGCTTGAAAAAAGTGAGGATGTGATAGATTAGATTCAATATTTCGAGTTAATTGATTGTGGACCTGTTGCGATAATGTACTTTTTTCACTGGTGTGCTTGAATACCAAAAAAGCATTTCCGCATTGATTACTGATTGCCGTTTTTTCTAACATCTGATTAGTTGTCGTTTCAGTTTTAGTTTAGTTTTTATATTTTCTCTATAGGGATTTCATTTTCTTTTACTTTTTTTGATCTGAGCCTTGATTACTTTTTTGTCATTTCCTTGGTTTAGTATTTTAATAGTCCGTTATTCGTAAAATCCAGATTTTTTAGAAGGAGAGGTTTAAAGAGAAGCATTAAAGAAATTAACATAAAAAATTAAGACTACTACAAAAATAAATAGTCTATTTCAATTCAATTTAATAAAAAGTGTTTTAATGTTTCTTGAATATTATCTACAGAAACTTCAAAACTTACTAAACAAATAAATAAACAAACACCATCTCAATGCCTATCAATCTTCTCTATATCTTATCTGAGGATTTTTTTTATCTATTACAAGAATTTTTGTTGCTGTCGTGGGAGAATTGTTTTCCCTTAACGCGTAATAAAAATTTGATAAAACTAAATGTTTTTGCCATATTGCAATTCGTTTAAATGCTTATTTTATTTTTTCTGTACTACTTTTATACGAAACTCTATCCCCTTCTCGACTTAGGAGTGTGCTTGTCAGGCCCACGATTACTCCGAGTGACGCAATTCCTTTAATGACGAGAGAGTCACGCAGAGAGGCGCAACCCCGCCCTATTCGTGAGAGTTCAAAATAAGAAAAAATCCAAAAACTAACAATTCGAAAGAATTGTTTGAACTGTTGGAGTAGTTTTTTTCACAAGGGTTATATAAGAAATTGGTCAAAAATTGTTTTACCTCGCATCTCCACAATTTACAATATGAAATATAACAATTTTTTTAGAATTCCAATATTCACAACGTGTTACTCGAACACTTCCAAAAATTAACTAAAGAATTTTATTTTATACATTTTGGTTTCCAGAAGTTTTCTCGAAAATTTTCACCGTTTTTCCGCAATTTACAATATGAAATATAACAGTTTCTTAGAATTTGAATATTCACAACGAATAACATAAAACAATTGACATGGCGGTGGGTAGGCGGAGCTTAAAGTTTGCCTTTTTTCTGGATATACGTAACAATGTTTTCACGACAATATATTTAAAACGTTGAAAATGGTAAATTTTTGTCGGGAAACAACATTTTTACAATAAAGTTCCGCCCCTCGGTCTGACAGCGAATGAAAAATTCATTACAATTGAGATTGGGGCGGGTCGGTGGGGCTTATTTTTTGGATTTTTATTCCTTAATATATAAGTTTTCCTTTTAACAACATGTTAGTTAAAAGGAAATAGGGAAATAAGCATTTTGCAATAGACTCCCCCCTCGGCTCACAACGAATAAAAACGTTATTCTTAAAAAATGTACATACTTTAATTTTCAGGACAAGAAACTGAAAATATGTTTAAAAGGGTAGGGGGTTTAAGAGCGTAATTACAAAATCCATATTTCCTGTTTTAAACACATTTTAAGTTTCTTGTTGCGAAAAGAAGACTACGAATATTAAGAAACAAAGACAAAATATAAGCCCCGCCCACCCACCCTATCTCAATTGTGATGACTTTCTTTATTCATCGTGAGCCAAGAGGGTAGAGCTTAAAATTCTTATTTGTCTATAAGAAATTATCGTGTAAAACATTGAGTATCGTGTTATTCAAGGAATACGATGTATATTAAGTAAAAAATAAAGCCGAACCCATACCCATCTCCACAAAAAAAAATTAATAAACTTTAATAAATTCATGGATAAAAGATTATCTTGAACTTATTTTAATTGACGAAAGCGTTTTTTTGCTTCTTTATAATACCATAAAATTTGATTTTGCGATTTTCATTTTTGTGATAATAACGGAAATTCTGGAAAAACATTATTAAAGTTTGGTGAGGATAATTAGACAAAGTTTTGTTAGCGTTTTACCGTTTACGGACGGGCGAACGGACGGACAGACAGACAGACACGAGAAAAGTTAAAAATAGAGAGTAAGTCGACGGACTCGATTACAATACGTACTTCCTTCGCTTACGCTCGGGAAATAAAAAGTTATTTGGACAGAACTTCCCTCGTCCCTGGAGTACAGTCCAACAAGTACAGCTTCTTGGAAAAATTGTAATATTATTTTTTATTATAACTTCTATAAGTTACAATAAAGATATGTGTGGAGTGATAAGTACAGGTAAAGAAGCATGCTAAGCGTATATTTCAAATGAATTTTTCCATAACAAAATTTTGTAATGATGTTACCAATATTTTAGGATGCGTGTATCAATTTGAATAGGTGCAGTGTAATACTAGTGAAAACAACAGTACTGTAGAGTAAAATAAAATAAAAGGTCGCAAAAAGAGAAAAGTGACTATAAAAGCGACAAAAAAGACAACATAAAAGTGACAAGAAAAACAAAGAAAGGCGAAAACACACCAAATAATGGGTTGAAAATGAAGCAAAAAGTCCACAACCAACTGAAAAAGGCGATCAAAATGTACAAAAATGAGTACAAAAAAACGACGAAAAAGCGACAAAAAAGTAACCAAAAAATAACAAAAAAATCCATAGAAAAGGGGGGCAAAAATCCATAGAATTAATTTATCCAGCAAAATTTTGAGATAAGCTCATCAAATTTTTGGAATAGTGAAAGTAAAAAATTTTGTTTAGTGAACTTTAAAACATTTGCAAGGGTTTATGGTTTTTAAATCAACTTGTAATTGTGATTTTGCAATCTAAATTTTTTTGAGAAATCTAGACGTCGAAGATAAAATTGAGACGTAATAATATACCAAAAGAATAATATTTTATAAAATAAGTGGGATTGGCTTTGCCAAATTTTGGGATTTTCACCATTTTTCCGCAATTTATAATATGAAATATAACAGTTTCTTAGAATTTCAATATTCACAACGAATTGTTGTTGAGAAATAAGCATTTTGCAATAAACTCCGCCCTTCGGCTCACAGCCAATAAAAACGTTATCAAAATTCGTAATATATACTTTTCTTTCCACGACAAGAAACTGAAAATATGTTTAAAATGGTAAATTTGTAGAGGTGTATAGGATAAAATGTATGTGTTATATATACATGTTTTCAGTTTCTTGTTATGGAGAAAAAACAATATATATTAAGAAGAGGAAAAAAGTAAAACAAGCCCCACCCACCCACCCTATCTTAATTGTTGCTTTTTCCTTGTTCGTTGTTAGTCAAGGGGGGCGGAGATTAATTGCAAAATCCGTATTTTTCTACAAGAATTACCATGTAAAACATGTTCTTCAGTGATGGTGTTGCTCAGAGAAAACTACGAGTATTTAGTAAAAAAAAAGATAAGCCCCACCCATCCGTTTCGATCTCAATCGTGATGAATTTTCCATTCATTGTCAGACTGAGGGGCGGAGCGTAATTACAAAATCCATATTTCCTCTTTTAAACACGTTTTAAATTTCTTGTTACGAAAAGAAGACTACGAATATTAAGAAAAAAAGGCAAAATATGAGCCCCGCCCACCCACCCTATCTCAATTGTGATGACTTTCCTTATTCATTGTGAGCCAAGAGGGTGGAGCTTAAAATTCTTATTTGTCTATAAGAAATTATCATGTAAAACATGTTTTTGAGTATCGTGTTGTATATCCACAAAAAAAAACTAACAAACTTTAATAAATTCACGGATAAAAGATTATCGTGAACTTATTTTAATTGACGAAAACTTTTTTTTGATTCTTTATAATACTATAAAATTACGGAAAATTTGGAAAAACATCTGATTGTTAATTATAAGACAAAAAAGTGCATAAAACTGTGCATATTTAGCAAAATTGTGCATATTTCGAACAAATTCAATATTGAGTTTGGTGGGGATGATTACCGTTTACATGATATTCATAATATACATATAAAATTTGACAACAATCGGTACAATAGTTTCGGAAATTATCTGTCTAACAAAAATCCTGACAGACGGACGGACAGATTGACAAACAGACAGACGAACGGACGGACGGACGGACAGACACGAGAAAACGTAAAAGTAGAGAGTCGGTCGACGGACTCCATTACAATACTTCTTACGCTTACGCTCGGGAAATAAAAATGGTCTAAAGTTATTTGGACAGAACATCCCTCGCCCCCGAAGTATAGTCCAACAAATACAGAGTCTTCGAAAAATGGTAATATTATTTTTTATTATAACTTCTATAAGTTAAAATAAAGATATGTGTGGACTGATAAGTACAGGTAAAGAAGCATGCTATGCGTATGTTTCAAGTGAATTTTTCTATAACAAAATTTTGTAGTGATGTCACCAATATTTTAGCAAGGACACTTGTATCAATTCGAATAGGTGCAGTGTAATGCTAATAAAAACAACAGTACAGTAGAGTAAAATTTTTGGAAAATGGGGTGAGCCGTTTTCATTCATTAATTTTTTTGAGACACACTGTTTGACTAATTCTGAAATAAAAAGCGCCAAAAAAGGCATTTACAAATGGATAAAATAAATCACAACAAAGAGAAAAAGGCGTTGAAAAGTGACTATAAAAGCGACAAAAAAACGACATAAAAATGACAAGAAAAGCAAAGAAAGGCGAAAAAACGCCAAAAAATGCGTTGACAATGGAACAAAAAATCCATAACCGAGTGAAAAAATGTCCAAAAAAGCAGGACTGAAAGGCGACGAAAAAATAATAAAAAAGAACCAAAAAATGACAAATATTCCAAGGAAAAGGGGGGCAAATTTTGCAATTTTGATTTTTTTCAAGAAATCTAGACGTCGAAGATAAAAAATTAAGATGCAATAATAAACCTGAATGATGATATTTTATTAAACAAATAGGATTAAGGATTGACTGCCAAATTTTGAGATGGTGTTATCAAACTGTTTTTGATTTGCATTTTACTATCTACACAATATTCGTAAAATATACTTGAGATTACATAACAATCAGTCTAGTAGTTTAGCTTTATCCACTACAGTTTTTTATAGTCTTATATAAAAAACAAATTACTATAATAAATTACCAAAAACTCTATAACACTATGTCTTGTTGACGCTCTCAACTCTGTTGCATTTATGGCAAATTTTAATTTATTTTTTTAACATTAATTTTAGACAAAATTTCTGAAATCATAATTGTTACTTTCTGAGCGTAGGCTAAAGAAATTATTGTAAACAAATCCAATAGGCGACTACCTGCTTCCATATTTTCTCAATGGGTCATGACCCTTATTTTAGAGTACGAAAAAATAGGCCCCCCGTTTCCGTCTGTCCGTTTGTCTGTCTGTCTGTCTGTCTGTCTATCTGTCTGTCTGTCTGTCTGCCTGCCCGGTCGCCGTCTGTGTCAATTTTTGTTAAACAGATAATCTCCGAAACTTTATCTAATCATCCCCATGAACAATGTGATGACGTCCCCCAAAATTGTACATAGGATATGCGTTCTAAATTGTATCAAATATCATCGTCCTACACATGTAGTTTATGAATCCCTGTTGAGTTTTTACCTGAAACGTCTAGATTTTGCAATTTAATTTTGAATCTGCAAAACCGATACTTCAATATTACATATTTACTTATGTTTATTTCATCTTATGGCGGTTCTCATAAAAAAAAAATAAAATTCGCAAAATCAAAGTTTATAATTTTTCGAAAATGCTGGATATGTTTCATTGTACTTCAGGGGCGAGGAAAATTCTGTCGAAACAACTTTCCACCAATTTTTTTTATTGCAGTTATCCTTTTTAATGTTACAGTTAATATCTTCATCAATTATTATTAGTATAGTAGACCAACCAGAATCACAGTTTTACGATTTTGACTCCTCCACCATCCTTGTCAACGCGTAATGCAGACTTACCATACCAAATTTTTTGCGTGTTTGCAAACAACAGTGCTTAGAAAAGTCAAAATCATAAAAAACACTATTTTTGTTGAAGCACTATACAGTACTATACACTATTTCATTATCACATCTTCCACATGCTGATTGACTAAACAAAAAAAAATAGCAATCGCACTTGTATCTTAAGTAATTAGCCTGCACAAATCAGATATCAGAATCTGTTAAGTTGTTAAAACTTCTTAAAGAAGTGTCAATAACATATCAGAAATTTGCATGCATTGCTTTATAATGCTTTTAAAGATTGTAATTATAATGTCAATGTTTAATGACTCTTTTCAAACTTTTTTTTAGGTTTGAGTACTGCAACTTGTTTCCTGACCTCTTTGCAAACCAAACACACTACAAATAAAATAAAATACAAGTAACCACTAATCGTGCAAGCACTTTAGGTTTATTAATTGATTTCAAATTCCATCGTGAGTTAGATTTTCTACTCTATTTGAAACAAGTTGTATGTGAATCGTTCCCCGCGTTAATTTATTACAATCAACTCGTATATTCAAATCAGAAACTGTTTTTATTAAATCCATGAAGAACAAAATATGACTACTTACAACTCGATACCAGTGTCGTCGTTTAGATAACAAGGCAGTTTCAGATCTTACTCCACTCGGGATGTTGACTGACGACTTCGCTAACATCGTTATGAAATGCATGTTTGAAACGTTTGATGGCATGTGCTAGTTTTTATTCTCTAGCGAACTCATGAATGCTCATTCCTGATGAAGTAAATTCAATTATCGGAGATAATTGTCCCCTGTGGCGGCGCCTGCATGCGGCCTTGCTGCGGTAAGTAGTCGCATTACCACGAGACGACCTAATCCGCCCCTGATTTGCACGATTCCAGTCCAGCGAGCGACCTTTAAAAAATCAAAACAATAAACCGCTGGCATAAATTTTGATATATTGGGACGTTCATAAAAATGGCATTTCAATTTTAATTCGCATTGCACACATGTAGATAAATATCGTTCCGGGAGGCATTTCGACTAAAAGCAATTAAAACCGAGCTTGAGTCGACCCACACGAGCGGAAAACCATCGAAAACCGTCGTAAGTGATTTTTTTCTTTTGGTTTGATGGGGAGATTTTGCGGAAATTTTGTATGTGAATTAGAACGTGGCCATTAAAAGAGTGTCTTTGTAAAGATCTATGAGCAACGTCTTTCATGTGGTTTGTTCCACTACATCTACGTGGCTGAAATCAAATATTTTGTAAAAAAAAAATCAATTTATATGGCAACAGGGTTTTAAACAGAATTTCCTTGGCCCCTGAAGTGCAATGAAATAAAAAATCTAGTTTTTTAGAAAAATTAAAAGATTTGGTTTTGTGAATTTTATTTAATTGTGGTAGCCCCTGTAAGACTACAAGGGAGTTTTTCATAATGCAATTTTGTGATGCCGTTATTTTTTAGTAAGGACAAGAAACAACAAAAATAGGCAACAAAAAAGGAACAAAAGCGGTGATAATAAATGCAGACAAACAAAAACGATAAAAAACGCGACAAACTGGGTACATAAGAGCGTCAAAAGAAAAACGACAAAAAGTGACCAAAGAAAGCACCAAAAAAGGCTTTTAAAATGGAGAAATAAAAGACCACAACATAGAGAAAAAGGTAAAAAAAAATTATTCAAAATTACGAACAAAAAGAGGCACAAAAACTAACAATAAATGACGACATAAAAAAATGCAAAAAATTGAGAAAAAAATGCAAAGAAAAATCGATTAAAAAAAGCTGTTAAAGTGGAGAAAATAAAAGGACATAAAAAAGAGAAAAAAATGCGACAAAAAAAAAAGTTAAAAACGGGCAACATTGGCCAAAAAAATGCAACAAGAAAGAGGACAAAAAGAAAAAAGTGCACCAAAAACGGGAAAAAAAACAAAAAAGAGGCTAAAAAAAGTTAGGCAAAAACTAAAGGGGCGAAATAATATAGAAAAAGGATAAAGTAGCGCCAAATAACTTTAAAGTAGAGAAAAAAGATAATAAACCATAAAAGGGACAAAAAAGTGTCCCAAAAAGAAAACGAAAAACACCAAGAGGGCTTTAAAATGGACAAAATACAAGGCCACAACAAAGAAAAAACTATGCAATATAAACCAATATACAAAATAAGAAACAAAAAAGGCACAAAAAATGCGACAAAAAATAAAAAAAAAAGATAAAAAACACCAAATCTCTATAAAAAAAAGTCGGCCAAAAAAAAACAAGAAGGGCCAAAAACCCTTGAAAGTACAAGCAAATCCACAAAATATGCAAAAAAGGAGAAAAAATGTAGAAAACAAAAGGTGAAAACAAATAGAAAAAAGGTAATAAAAAATTAATTCAAAATAAATAACAAAAAGGGGCACAAAAACTAACAAAAAAAGACAAAAAAAAATGCAAAGAAAAGTCCATTAAAAAACTTGTTAAAATGGAGAAAATAAAAGGTCATAAAAAAGAGAAAAAATGCAACAAAAACCTGTTAAAAATAGGTGACAACAGTAGCCAATAAAAATGCGACAAGAAAAAGGACATAAAAAATGCGACAAAAAGGGGACACAAAATAGAGACAAAACAGTCAAAAAAATAGACAAAAAAGGTGGAGAAATAATAAGAAAAAAAGGACAAAGCAGCGCCAAATATTTTTTAAAATGGAGAAAAAACATAATAAACCATAAAAGAGACAAAAAAGTGCCCCAAAACGAAAACAAAAAGCACCAAGAGTGCTTTAAAATGGACAAAATACAAGGCCATAACAAAGAAAAAATATGCAATAAAAACCAATATACAAAATAAGAAACAAAAAAGGGCACAAAAAATGCGACAAAAAATGAAACAAAAAGATAAAAAACACCAAATCTCTATAAAAAAAAGTCGGCCAAAAAAAAAACAAGAAGGCCCAAAAACCGTAGAAAGTACAAGCAAATCCACAAAATATGCAAAAAGGGAGAAAAAATATAGAAAACAAAAGGTGATAACAAATAGAAAAAAAGTAATAAAAAAATCATTCAAAATAAATAACAAAAAGGGGCACAAAAACTAACAAAAAAAGACGAAAAAAAATGCAAAGAAAAGTCCATAAAAAAACTTGTTAAAATGGAGAAAATAAAAGGTCATAAAAAAGAGAAAAAATTCAACAAAAACCTGTTAAAAATAGGTGACAACAGTGGCCAATAAAAATGCGACAAGAAAAATGACATAAAAAATTAGACAAAAAAGGGACACAAAATAGACACAAAACAGTCAAAAAAATAGACAAAAAAGGAGACGAAATATTAAGAAAAAAAGGAAAAAGCAGCACCAAATGACTTTAAAAATGGAGAAAAAACATAATAAACGATAAAAGAGACAAACAACTGCCTCAAAAAGCAAAGAAAAAGCACCAAGAGGCCTCTAAAATGGAGAAAATACTAGAGCATAATAAAGAAAATAAAAACAAATGTAAAAGAACAAAAAAAAGGCCAAAAAACATCAAATTTATATTAAAAAAACGAACAAAAAAGGACCAAGAAGGTCCAAAAACCGTTGAAAGTGGGTGACAAACCAGGCCATAAAATATACAAGAAAGGTGAAAAAAGGAGAAACCAAAGGTGGTAATAAACAGAAAAAATAAGTTAAAAAAAGGACAACCAAAGTGCCAAAAAATGTTCAAAATAGGTCAAAAATGGGGCAAAAAAAATGCGAATGTAAGGTAACATAAAACCAAAAAAAGCAAAAAAATGCGCCGAAAATACCGACCAAACACTACGAAAGTTACTACAAAAAAACAATTAATAAAAAGCAAAAAAGATGCCAAAAATTACTTTAAAATGTAGAAAGAAGACCAAAACAACAGAACAAAATAATAAACAGCAAAAAGGTGTTAAAAAAAGGGACAAAAAAACGTCAAAAAACATTCAAAATAGGTAACAAAAAAGGGCACAAAAAATGCGACCCAAAGGTATCATAATAGTGGAAAAAAGACAAAAAAGACGCTAAAAACCTACAAAAACCTACAAAAAAAGGTACAAAAGGACTCTAAAGAAAGGCAATAAACTAGGGCAAAAAACCGCCAATAATACGTTAAAAATAGGAGATAAGAAGGGCCACAAAAATACGACATAAAAGCGCTAAGATGGCAAAATGAATTGACAAAAACAACGAAGAAAAAGCTTTGCAAAGGACATATAAAAATGGAAAAAATTAAAAGACATAACAAAGAAACAAAAATGAGATAGAAAAGAGACAACAAAAGCGTCAAAACAACGTAAAAAATAGGCGCCAAAGAAGGGCACACAAAATAGGACAAAAAAGGAGATACAAAAAGGTGATGAAAAACGACAAAAAAAGAGAGACAAAAAACCCAACAAAGGAAAAAGGGGGACGAAAAAGAATGGTTAAAGTCAAAAATTTTCATTAGAAATTAGAAAATTCGCCAAAAAAGGCTACAAAGCACACCAAAAATCTTTAAAAAAAAAAGGAGGGAAAATGACAAAAAAGACAATGAAGATAAAGACAAAAACGTATTAAAAATAGGCACCAAGAAAGGCCAAAAAGGTGACCGAACAAAACAACTAAAAAGCTCCAAAAAAGGCATTTTCAAATGGAGAAAATAAAAGGTCATAACAACGAGAAAAAAGGTGCTAAAAAGGGACTACAGAAGCGACTAAAAAAAATAGCATAAAACCCACAAGAAAAGCTAAGAAAGGCGAAAAATGCCAAAAAAGACGTTAAAAATGGAGCAAAAAGTCCGTGACAAACTAAGGCGCCAACGAAAAGTGACAAAAAGAGGTCAAAAAGGCGACGAGAAAGCGACAAAAAAGGGACCAAAAAATAGCAACAAAGGCCATAGAAAAGGGGGCAAAAAATCTGTAAAATTTTTCCAGCAAATTTTTGAGATGACGTCATCAAGTTTTTGAAATGGTGAAAGTCAAAAATTTTGGTTAGTGAACTTCAAAACATTCGCAATTTTATAGTTTCGCAATTTTGATTTTTTCCAGAAATCTAGACGTTGAAGGTAAAGAAGTAAAGACGCAATAATAAACCACATGTTCAGAAGCATGATATTTTATAAAATTTAACTAGGTTTGACTCTGCCAAATTTTGAGATGGTGTCATTAAAATGTAGGTGTGGATAATCAAACAAATTTTGGTATACGTTTTACCATCTACACGATATTTCTAAAATATACCTGATATTACATAACAATCAGTCTAGTAGTTTAACTTTATCCACTGTGTTCTAAATAAATTACTATAGTAAATCACCATTTTTTTCTTGAAATTTGTTGAAATTATGTTTTATTTTCCACATTTTTTTTTTAACTTTTTTATATTTTGCTTGTCCTTGGAAAAAAAATAATTTCAGGACAATATCATGGAAGTAACAGTTACTGGTTCAATCTCAACGTCATCCTTTTGACTCAAGATTTTCTGAACTACTTAATCTTGAACTAAATGTCAGTTTTGACAAGTGCTTGAAACAATGACGTAGATAGCAACAGAATCGTAGTGACCGCATAATTTTGTGAAAGTAGTAGAAGATATATATAAATTATACACAATTACTTAGCAACTAGTTTTAAAAAGACTAATGGAACTATATATATTTAATATTTTTCCTGAGAGTCAGTATCCAAAAAATTGATACAGTGAGAAGAATCCACCAATAAAACGTCTCAGTATACGTACAAGAGTGCGGACGGGTCCATTTGCGAATTTAGGGTGAGGAAACAGCCAAATATTCATTCGACTGACGTCCTGAATAAATTACCACTACCGGAATTTTCACATTTTCTATAATCTCGACATCCTCGATAAAACCCAAAAAAGTCCACCACAGTACCGACAAGCCAAAGAATGCCAGCGCTGTCTTTCTTCCTGCGTACCACCAGGTCGTTTGAACTGACGAGCGCGCTTTGAAAATTAGCGAAAATTGTCAGATACCATATGAAGAAAGTGAATGATGACAGTTGTGTAGCAATCATCGTGTCGATGTCGGATCGCTTAGGGATCAGGAAGGCGACCAGGCCCTCCCGTGGCGTGACGATGGTCTCACGGTTTGTCAGCGTGGTTGTGCGGAACTGGTACTTCGAACCAGAAGGTCCATATGCGGCAACAGGTACCTGTTCAGGTGCGATCTGTCCGGTACGAGATGTTCCGCGTATATGTCGCATACCGCAACTCTTCATTTTACAGCAACGTTCCCAATCGAGGGAAAACCTCATTCCGATCTAAAAACGACTCGTTTTGCTTTTCCCAGAACTGACCTCTGACGAAGCGATCGCACCTTTTTGGGGACGCCTCAGGAATCTGTTGGGACGTCAAATTGTGCAAAGACAAAAGAATCGGAAAAGTATAGTTTTAATGCATATATTACAAAATGAACAGGTTGATTTTTACGTGGGTTGGTAATAAATTTATTGTAAATGGACATCCTAACTTTTTCTTCCGAAAAATGACTTTCTACAAAAATATCAAAATAAAAAACAAAGAAAAGTAACACAAATCGTTAGTGACATCTACGGAAAAATTTAAAGGTGACTCACTGTGTCTATATGGTAAGTCTGTAATTAATGTGTACGTTTAACATTGCTATTTTTTAATGGTTTTTCCGACTGTTTTTCTTACCTTACAAAATATTCATTTTTCTTAACATCATCGGACTGTTTCATGTAGTGTGGGTAATAAATGACTCATGTATTTTTTTCCAAGCCAAGTTTGATCTGAGTGACTAAGGCAATAGACGACTGAAAAAGATATAATAATCTCTGATTGATTTATCCATATTTATGAGACAACCACCCTTTTGGTCTATAGTTCGCCTACTAAAAGAACTTTCAAGGTAAACCTTTTCCGGGTTAGAATTTTTTTCTTAAAAAACCTTTTCATCCCTTGAGGGATAAAAACATTTCATATTTAACATTTTATAACGATTTTAATAAGTATAAACCACAATAAAAACTCAGTGAATATAAAAGTGCATTAAAAAATTGTAAAAATACACTACTAAAAATTGGGGAAAGCCATCCCTACAATTTCCCGTTTCTAGATACAGGAATTTGGGCTGGGCTTTAATGGAACAATCATTCAAGACTTAACTCTCTTTACATATAAATTGCAAACTGGAACCATCTGAGGGCTTATCACATTCTTTTTTGTTCCAGTGGTACCATAAATCTGCATAAACCAATCAGAGATTATTTCTGCATTACTTTAGTAGTTTATTACCTTGACCACAAAGATCAAATCTGAATTGAAGAAGAATGCATATTATTTTTTCATTACAATTTAATCTAACATGTAGTTAAAATTATTCTCCGAGTTGTTGATTATTCTCGTTACTCCAATTTACGAATGTTCGTCTTAAAAGACAATTTTTCGGTAGTTTTTCCCGCTATTCGGCCAACTTCTGCAGAACTTTTTTCTTCCTCCTGTGGGTGATTGATCCTTTTATCAGATTTTTAACATGAAGTTAATGGCTATCCTGAAAAAATAAAAAACGCAATGTAAATTGCTCAAGACTAAGTTTCTTTATAAGTAAAAATTTATGTTACTATTGATATGAAGAGTCTAAAGTGAATGTTGTACAAACCACAAAAAAATCTAAAAACATTAATCGAAATTCAGTTCAACAGCACAACGAAAACGTAAGAAAAAATCGCTACAATGTATCGAAAATTCAAGGTTGTATCATACTCGGTACAGTTTCGATATATTCCAGGTTTAATTAATACTGTGCAAATTTGGGGAAAAAATGTAAATCATACAACAAAATTTCGCAATTTATCTTAGAAACTATAAACTTAATTGCCCTGAAATTTTGCATATACTTTGAGCATAAGGGTATCCTGAACATGGTAAATCACTGATTAGAATTTATCTGTTCATCCCTTCTAAACATTTGATGACGTCATCTCAAAGTTTTATAAAATTATTCCCAATGAAAATGTTCAGACTTTTTTTAAACTATTTATACACGACATCTCAAAAAAATTATAACCAGAAATTATTTATTTTTATTAATATAAATCTAAAACAACTTATCTTTTTTTCTTCAAATTCAGATAACACAGAGCTATTACAAAATTTTAAATTTTCACTTGAAATTTACATACAGCATCTTAATTTTGTACTAATTCAGCTGTATTTTTATAGCTACAAAAATATGAAATTTTTTACCTTTTTCAAAGTAGTGTCGAAAATTACCACAAAAGATTTTAATGTTTATTTGGACCTCTATGTCATAAAATAAGGACAATTTATGGGATTCCTAAAATCTCCGATTTGAAAGCGAATTTTTCCAAAACCTTTGTCCGAAATCATTAACAAGCTATGTTTTTCGATTCAACTCGTTGAGATCTATAGTCCAGATTTTTTTGGAGATTTTTAGACAATGGTAAAAGCTCAGTTTTTCAGAAATATGAAATTTTTTACCTTTTTCAGAGCACCGTCAAAAATTACCAAGAGATTTTTATGTGGATTTAGACCTCCATCCAGAAGTTGTTTTCCGCTTTATTTCTTCAAAAACTTCTACCATTTCTCCAGATTATTCAAAATAACAATGACAACTTTTGAGATTTTTTAAATCTTCTATTTGAAACAGAATAACACGAAAAACTTTGTTCTAAACCAGCAACAAGTTTTCTTTTTTGATTCAACTCATCAAGATCCATATCTCTGATCGTTTTGAAGATTTTTAGATAATTTCATTAGAAACTGATTTTTTAGAAAATATGAAATTTTTGACCTTTTTCAGAGCATAGTCTAAAATTATCGCAACAGATTTTTATGTTGATTTCAACCTCGAGAAGTAGTTTTCCGTTTCATTTCTTCAAACATCCTACCATTTCTCCAGAATGATCAAAATAATAATTTCAGTTTTTGAGATTCTTAAAAGCTCTAGTTTGAAACCAAATCTTTCGAAAATCTGCCCAAAACCAAAAACAAGTTATATTTTTAGATTCAGCTCGTCGAGATCTATATCTCCGAATTTTTTGATGATTTTTAGTTAACTTCATTAGAAACAGATTTTTTCAAAAATATGAAATTTTTGACCTTTTTCAGAGCGGAGTCGAAAATTTCCACAAAAGATTTTTACATTTATTTCGACCTCCAGAAGTTGTTTTCGAGTTCATTTCTTCAAAGAATTCTACCATTTCCCCACAATTGTCAGAATATTAAGGACAAATTTTGAGTTTCCTAAAAGCTCCAGTTTAGAGCCGAATTTTTCGAAAACCTTGGTCTGAAACTATCAAGAAGTATTGTTTTTAGATTCAGCTCGTTAAGATCTACAGCGCAAAATTTTTTGCAAATTTCCAGATAACAACGCTAAAAGCTTAATTTTTCAAAAATATGAAGTTTTTGATCTTTTTCGTCGACAATTACCACAACAGATTTTTTGATGATTTCGACATATAGAAGTTGCTTTGGGCTTTATTTCTTCAAAAAGTTATACCACTTCCACAGATTGATTAATAATTAAAATAATAATGACAATTTTTGAGGTTTTTAAAATCTTCAATTTGAAAGAGCATCTTTCGAAAACCTTTGTTCTAAACATCAACAAATTTTCTTTTCCGATTCAGCTCATCGAGATCTATATGCCGGAATTTTTTGCGGATTTTTTAGATAAAATTTGACTAGAAATTGAATTTCTCAAAAAGATGAAATTTTTCAGAGCATTGTCGAAAATTACCACATGATATTTTTAGGTTTATTTCGACCTCTACAAGTTGTTTCGGATTCATTTCTTCAAAAATTCCTAACATTTCCCCACAATTGTCAGAATAATAAGAACAATTTATGAGATTCCTAAAAGCTCCAATTTGAAACCGAATTTTTCGAAAACCTTAGTCTGAAACCATCAACAAATATTGTATTGAGATTCAGCTCGTTGAGGTCTACAGCGCAGAAATTTTTGTAGATTTTTAGATGACAATACTAAATGTTCAATTTTTCAAAAATACGATAATTTTGACCTTTTTCACAGCATCGTCGAAAATTACCACAACAGATTTGTATACCTACTGATTTCAACCTCCAGGAGTTGTTTTCCGCTTCATTTCTTCAAAAAGTTCTAGTACTTCCCAAGATTGTTCAAAATAATAGTGAAAAATTTTGAAATAATTAAAATCTTCGATACGAAACAGAATCTTTCGAAAACCTTTGCTCTAAACCATCAACAAATTTGATTTTCGATTCAGCTCGTCGAGATTTGTATCCCGAAATTTTTTGGGGTTTTTTAGATGATTTCTCTAGAAACTGAATTTTTTAAAAATATGAAATTTTTGACCTCATTGTCGAAAATTACCAGAAAAGATTTTTTTGTTGTTGTTTTCGGCTTAATTTCTCCAAAAAGTCCTGCTATTTCTCCAGAATTGTCAAAATAATAAGGACAATTTGTGAGATTCCTAAAGGCCCCAGTTTGAAATCAAAATTTCCACAACCTTGGTGTCAAACCATCAGCAGGTTGATTTTTAGACAACAATTCTAAATGCACAATTTAAGAAAATCGAAAATTTTAAAGTCCTAAAATTTCCCCAGAATTATCAAAATAATAAGGACAATTTACGAAATTCCTAAAAGCTCCAGTTTGAAACCAACATTTCCAATACCTTAGTCCGAAACCATCAACAAGTTTTGTTTTTAGATTCATGTCATCGAGATCTACAACGCAGAATTTTTGAGATTGTTGGAGATTTTTAGACAACAATGCTAAAAGCTCAATTTTTAAAAAATTTGAAAATTTTGAACTTTTTCAAAGAATCGTCGAAAATTACCACAAGAGATTTTATGCTGATTTTACCTCCCGATGTTGTTTCCGGTTCCATTTTTTCAAAAAAAAAGTCTACAATTTTCCCAGATTGATCAAAATAATAGTTACAAATTTTGAGATCCCTAAAATCTTTAATTTGAAATAGGATCTTTTAAAATCTTTTTCTCCAAACCTCAACAAGTTTTAAATTTCGATTCAGCTCGTCGAGATTTGTATCTCGAATTTTTTTTGGGGAATTTTTAGATAATTTCAACAGAACCTGAATTTTTAAAAAATCTGACACTTTTGAGCTTTTTCAGAGCATTGTCGAAAATTACCAGAAAAGATTTTTTTTATTAATTCGACCTCCAAAAGTTGTTTTTGGCTTAATTTCTTCAAAGAGTCCTGCTATTTTTCCAGAACTGTCAAAATAATAACGACAATTTATGAAATTTCTAAAAGCTCCAGTTTGAAACCGAAATTTCAAAAACCTTAGTCTGAAACCATCAACAAGTGTTGTTTTTAGATTCAGCTCGTCGAGATCAACAGAGAATTTTAGAGATTTTTGGAGATTTTTAGGTATCAATAGTAAAAGTTCAATTTTTAAAAATTTGAAATTTTGACCTTTTTCACAGAATCGTCGAAAATTGCCACGACAGATTTTTATACTGATTTCAACCTCCAAAAGTTTCCGATTCCATTTTTTCAAAAAAAAATCTACGATTCGCCCCGATTGATCAAAATAATAGTGACAAATTTTGAGATTCTTAAAATTTTAAATTTGAAACGGAATCTTTCAAAAGTCTTTTCTTTAAACCAACAACAAGTTTTAATTTTCAATTTAGCTCGTCGAGATCTATATCGCGGAATTTTTTGGGGATTTTTAGATAATTTCGTTAGAAACTGAATTTTTTAAAAATATGAAATTTTCCTTTTTCAAGGCACTGCATTATCGAAAATTACCAGACTGTTTATTTCGACCTCCAGAAGTTGTTTTCGGATTCATTTCTTCAAAAAGTCCAACCATTTTCCCAGAATTGTCAAAATAATGACAATTTATGAGATTCCTAAAAGCTCCAGTTTGAAACCGAAATTTCGAAAACCTTGGTCTAAAACCATCAACAAGTATTGTTTCTAGATTCAGTTCATCGAGATCTACAACGCAGAATTTTTGAGATTGCTGGAGATTTTTAGACAACAATGCTAAAAGCTCAATTTTTAAAAAATTTGAAAATTTTGAACTTTTTCAAAGAATCGTCGAAAATTACCACAAGAGATTTTATGCTGATTTTAATCTAATATCCGTTCGCAAAACTCCCGCACTGTCAGAATGACATTATGTTGGTATGAGAAATAATCCTCTAAAAGATTTTTAAGTTTATATGATTACCGCCTTGAATTTCACATTTTCAAAATTAATTAATGAAAAATCAAATGTTTATTAACTATTTTACCTTTTTGATTTGCTGAAGTGTTCAATGTGTTTAAAGAACTTGTCCGTAATTCAAACAAATTGTAGCACCAGAAGCGTAGAAATGGACAATAAGGTCAAAAATATATATTTTTCAAAAAAAGCTTTCGTTGTCGTTCGTGTGTCATACTCTTTCTTTACTTGAATTGATAAAAATCTTCAGTTAAAGTGCTTTTGACATTTTTATTTGACAAGTTATTTTTAGTTACTAATTTGTCACTAGATTGCAATTTTGCAACATATTGTACATGTTTTTCGCATCTCACCACTGAGTACACTCAGGTCATTTTTTCCAAATCTGACACTGACAGTGCGGGAGTTTGAGTTCCATTTTTTGACCATTTTCAAAATATTGTCAAAAAATACCACAACAGAATTTTTTTTTCAAAAAGTCCCACCATTTCCGCAAAATTGTCAAAATAATAACGACAATTTTTTTATGCCTGGGGATTTAGCTCGTTGAGATGTATAGCGCAGTTTTTGGAGAATTTTAGACAATTTCGCTAAAAGCTGATTTTTTCAAAAAATGAAGTTTTTAACCTTTTTTCAGCGCATCGTCAAATTTTACCAGATTCTCCAAAAGTTGGTTTCCGCTTCATTTCTTCAAAACAATCTGCCATTTCTCTAGAATGATCAAAATAATAATGAAAATTTTTGAGATTCTTAAGCGGTCTAGTTTGAAACCAAATCTTTCGGAAATCTTTGCCCGAAACCAACAAAAAGTTATGCTTTTATATTCAGCTTGTCGAGATCTATATTTCCGATGTTTTTGGTGATTTTTACACAACTTGGCTAGAAATTAATTTTTTAAAAATTTTAAAATTATTTACCTTTTTCAGAGCATTGTCGAAAAATACCATACGAAATTTTTATGTCAACTTCGACCTCCAGAAGTTGTTTTCGGATTCATTTCTTCAAAAATTTCTATTATTTCCTAAGAATAGTAAAAAAGTGATGACAATTTTTGAATTTTTGAAAGTTCTAATCTGAAACCTAATCTTTCGAAAACCCCGCCTCCAAACCACGAACAAGTTATGTTTTTCGATTCAGCTCGCCGAGATTTATAGCGCAGAATTTTTTGAAGATTTTTAAACAACTTCTATAAAAGCTGTACTTTTCAAAAATATGAAATTTTTACCTTTTTCAGAGCATTGTCGAAAATTACTAGAAAAGATTTTTTGTTTGTTTCGACCTTCAGAAGTTGTTTTCGGATTCATTTCTTCCAAAAGTCGTACCGTTTCTACAGAATTGTCAGAATAATAAGGACAGTTTATGAGATTCCTAAAGCTCCATTTGGAACCGAAATTTCGAAAACCTGCTTGGTCTGGAACCATCAACAAGTATTGTTTTTGAGATATTTGGAAATTTTTAGACAAAAATGCCAAAAGCTCAATTTTTAAGAAATTCGAAAATTTTGATCTTTTTCACAGAATCGTCGAAAATTACCACAATAGATTTTTATGCTGATTTCAACCTCCCGAAATTGTTCCGCTTCCATTTTTTCAAAAAAAAAGTACGATTTTCCCAGATTGATCAAAATAATAGTGACAAATTTTGAGATTCTTACATTTTCAGTTTGAAACAGAATCTTTCAAAAACTTTTACTCTAAACCATCAAGAAGCTTTAATTTTCTATTCAGCTCGTCCAGATCTATATCCCGGATTTTTTTGGGGATTTTTACACAACTTGGCTAAAAGTTCATTTTTTCAAAATTATGAAACTTTTTACCTTTTTCAGAGCATCGGCAAAAATTACCATTAGAGATTTTTATGTTGACTTCGACCTCCAGAAGTTGTTTTCGGATTCATTTCGTCAAAAAGTCAAGAATACTTAAAAAAATGATGACAATTTTTGACACTATTAAAAGTTCTAACTTGAAATCTACTCTTTCGAAAACCCTGGCTCCAAACCACCAACACGTTATGTTCTCGATTCAACTCGTCGAGATCTAGAGGGCGGAATTTCTTGGAGATTTTTAGACAAATTCGTTAACAGCTGAATTTTTTCAAAATATAAAATTTTTGAACTTTTTCAGAGTATTGTATGTATTTTCACCTCCAGAAATTGTCCTCGGGTTCCTTTCTTCAAAAAGTCCTTACCGTTTCTCCAGTATGGTCAAAATAATAATGATAATTTATTATACTTAAATGTAGTCTCAAGTTGTTTAGACAGAATTTCCCTCGCCCTTGTAGCACAGTTAATTAAACGATTTCAGTTTCTTAAATAAAATAAGCTGTATAAAATCTCTAAAAAATTCTGGGATATAGATCTCGACGAACTGAATCGAAGAAAGTAATTGTTGATGGTTTGGGACGAAAGATTTCGAAACTTTCGGTTTCAAATTTGGATTTTTACGAATCGCAAAAACTGATACTTTTATTTTGACCATTTTGGAGAAATGGTAGAACTTTTTGAAGAAATGAAGGCGTAAACAACGTGTGGAAGTCGAAATCAAGATAAAAATTTTTGTGGAAATTTTCAACGATGCTCTCTAAAGAAGACAAAAAATTTCATATTTTTGAAAAATTGAGTTTCTAACCAAGTTGTGTAAAAATTCCCAAAAATTCTGATATACAGATCTCTATAAGCTGAATCGAAAAACATAACTTATTGGTGGTTTCGAGCCTTTCGAAAGATTCTGTTTCAAATTGGAATTTTAAAGAATCTCAAAAATTGTCAATAGATATTTTGACCATTCTAGAGAAATGGTAGGATTTCTTGAATAAGTTAAACGGAAAACAATTTCCGCTGTGGTTATTTTCGACGATCCACAAAAAAAAGTAAAAAATTGTAGGTATATATTTTAAAAAATCAGCTTTTAACAAAGTTGTCTAAGAATCCCCAAAAAATCTTGCGCTATAGATCTGAACGAGCTGAATCAAAAACCATGACTTCTTTATGGTTTCCGACAAAGGTTTTTGAAAGATTCGGTTTCAAATTGGAATTTTTATGAATCCCAAAAATTATTTACACAATTTTTAGTGTATTTTTTAATTAATATTTTATCATTTTTCAGGGGAAGCACATTTCACAATAAATTGTATTAACAATAAAGATACAAAAACAATCAATTACTCTCATAAAACTTATCGTTAAGTACATCTGGTAACTAATTCCTGAACAATAGTGTGTCAAATCAAAAAAATAACTTAGGTACTTTTGTACATTTGTACTAATGCATGTACAAATACGTTTTAAATAAATTCTTCACGTTACTTTTTTTACAAGGATGTGAATAAAGAAAATTAAGCTTCCATAAACTTTATACTGAAAAATATGATTACATTAAACAACGGTCTTGTTAAATAAATATTTATGACATTTACTGTGGTCTAAAATCAGCTTTGTTGAAACATTTTACTAAAAATGCGGTTTTGGCTTTTTACGTTTTGCGCCAAACCGCTCCCGCCTTGGGGTTTCCACGGTTTAACCGCGATTTATTAAACCAGAGCCCGATTCGATATAAACCGGCGCAACTTCTGACTTATGCGCTCTGCTCGATTTATTATCTTGTACTACTCGTATTTCAGTTCTAGTGTCGACAAGTAATTACTGCGACTATTATCAACGAAAATAATTTAATGGACTTAATGAATTTAAATTGACGCGAGGAAAATTAGAAATTGCACTGGAGATATAGCTGTCGGGATATGCTTTCCGGATGACACTGCTTTCTGTTTTAGATTTACAGTGGCAGCGCGTACCACGCACTTGCGTTGTGTGAAAAACTATGTGGGTATTCCTAGAAATACCACTCCATTAAATTTTTACTGAGTAAAAAAAGACCTAGAATTCTTATCATAATTGATCAGCAGATGGGAACAAGTTCGTTATTAATTGGAATAATGAGGATTTAAAAAGAAACTCGTCAGCACTGTCTTAAAATCCGGGGTTCAATAAATCAATCATACGGGTAATGTAGTCAAAATTGTGACAGACTTGATTGACAGTCAAATCGGGAAAAAAGCCGCATAATCGAAATTCATCAAAATTCTACCAGCGACGGACAGATGTGCGTATAAACTGGGTAAAAGTTCGTCTTATAGCAGTATGCGAAAACGGTACTTTAATTTATTTAGTGCTTGTCGCGGAGACAATGAACAAGTAATGGATGTTTGAGCTGATTTGGTTCAACACGAGTGATAAAGTGTGCGGGTACTTTTCCGGTACCATTATTTTCTGTCATTTTTATTTTCAAACCACTAAAAGTACAAATTTTGTCAGTACGAAACTGACCTTACATGAATTTTAGTGGTAAAGTAAAGCCGACCAAATAGTGACTACTGAGTTTTTGAAGAGTGAAAATAATTTTTAATTGCAGGAGAACTAATAATGGCATCTTGAAACTATTAAAGATATTTTCACCAATGAATTTTTAAAATAGTATATAAATTAAAACAAGTTTTTTTTTACATGAAATGTTATAACATTTAAAACGTAGCTTGCTATTTTTTCTTAAAAGTTGGACATTCCCACACAAAGTTAATTGCTTCAGGGGTTTCACACTGCCACTTATATTTATCACGAAATTATCAGCCAAAACAATTCCAGCACCGGACACACTTGTAAATAAGGAAAAAAATAATAAAAAACAAGATTAATTACAAAGGGACTGCATTCTTTGCTCACATATAAAAGGCACGCATCTGTCCGGACTTCTCAGTTCTCTGTGGTTACCTACGACGAAAAGTTAAACAAAAATCATGGACAAAGACGGTAGAGACAATAGAAGCAATCAGCTAAATCAAAACCATCCATCCTATCAAGCTGGAAGTAAGTTAATTGTTCAATAAAATTCTAAAAATTAATCACTAATATTTTTGCAGCGGTTACTCATGGCTACAATTCTCAGCAACACTACAAGGACAATAGGTCCAACCAGCTGAATACAAACAACGAACAATATTACAAGTCAAGGGCTGACAATTCTAACAACTCTAACAAGAAATAGTGAACAAACTAAAGAAAAACATGTAAACAAATACATTGCAATAAAAAATGATTAAATAAAAATCTGTCTAGAATATTGTTACGAAATAAACCCATACGCCGCCCCGGTACGACGCCTGTGAGTGTTCTAGTATGTATGTGTTTCTTCTAGTATGTAGTATGACTCATCGAGCGGGCGGCGCGGCGCTCGCTAAAGAAAAGCCTGGAAGCGGATGTCGCGACGGACCCAGAAAACCCTCGAGGCGGCATTCTTTGATCCATCGAGAGAAACGTATAGATTTAAATAGAGGCCACCGTCGGGGACGATTATCATTCATCCAATTGAGTCGAGTTCAGCGAGTGCCGATCGTTGTTAATCGTGTGAATTTGAGTTACTAAGAAATAAATTCTAGTGTAAGTATTTCCACTCTTGCAACAAACTCCAGCAACTACCAACAGATGTCACTTCGATTACTTATATGATACGTCAAGTGAATATTCGAATCTGTTACCTGTCAAACTATTTTGACAAAACAAGTATAGGCTGTTGACTCATCAAGAGCATGTATTTATCGGTAAACATATGATATCATTAAAAATAACACAGATAAAAATTACTGTATTTAAAAGTATTCCTGGTGATATGCTGCTCATCTTGTACTTTAAACGTCTTGTGCTAGCTTCACGCTGTGTTAAGTGAAATCCCTGATTTTCTATATGTGTGTTTACTAGAATATAGTCGCGTTGAGCACAAAGTTTCAACAGTTGTAACTACGGTAGATAAGATGGGCAACGCGGGTTCAAGCAATCGATGGGGACGTAAATTTTCTTTTTTAGTAGTTTAACGCGAAATTAGTGTTGTTATTTCAGATCGTACCTCTGGGTACAAGTCCCAAAAATGTTACCTTAATAACAGAGCCAATCAGTTGAACCCGAACAATTCTGCTTATTGGAAGTCTTGCGCTAGACATGGGACTGCTAATAGCGGGTGGAGCTGCTGCAATGTACTTTAACACAAGGTGTGGTTTTTGGCAGAGTAAGAATTTTTGTAAGCAAAAGATAAATAAAAAGTTGTTAAATGTTTTTACGTTTTATTAGAATTAATTCCACATATTAAAAACTATTTAACACCTAAAGCGATATGTGCCATATTAAAATCGTAATAGAGAAAGAATGTTAAATTAATTAAATTAGACCAATAGATCAAAACTGTAATTAATCATCAAGCTTTGAATTAATGATATGTCACCTTATAAAAAACAGATCTACTTTAAGTTGGTCAAGCATGATATCGCACAAGCAGTAACCAACTGCTGAATCCTTTCAACTTTCATGTGTAAATATACAAAACGACCAAAAACGAAAACATAAATTAGTTCAACTAAGAATTTTTTTGCAATTTTTTATCGTGAATGCTTACCTTAAATGTTTTTGTTAAATAAATACAAATGCTCTATTTTACACAATTTCTGAATTTAGAAACCACAATGAACATGCTGATAGAAGAATTTATCGAAACTGCTACTCCAGTAAGAAATTTGGTAATTCCCCGAGGGCAAATTATGTAGGTTATCAGCGTGAAAGATAACATTTTTTATTTGTGCATCATCCAGACTGTTATCGTAAATGAGATTAATTAACCATGTATTTCGCAACATTTTTTAAATCTACTAAATATATTTGTTGTTATTGTTCAATTCAAATTAAAAGTAGCTGTTTTTGTCAATAAAGCGATTTAAATAGTAATATTTGCTTTTTGGGGTACTTTAGTACCTACTTTAACTCTGAACCCACATTTTTGCTTTAAAAATAACGTAATGGTGGGTACCAATTTAAAAACTGTGGATATTTTCCTCAATAATCCAAAATAGATCAGAATAAAACTTAATTTTACCTGCATTTGTGGCTTATTACATTTTACAAAAATTCAGGTTATTTTCACCAAAAATTAACCTTGACATTTTTGAAAAACGCATTTAAAAGACAAAACACATAGATCATCTTTTATGATATTTATTTCAAGATAAATTTTAAGCTCTCTTATCCTGTTGACAAAATTAAATAATCCCATTGTATTACTTTGAATGAACTTTTTATTATCATTAATTTTGTTTCCACCCCCACTCTGTTTAAACACAACACATTTATGTATGATGAATCATCGTCAAGGAATATATTGTCTTTTCCCAGAAACAGGGGCGGATGGGACCTGCTGAACCAGAACGGGAAAAATTTAGACCGGCGCCTAAGAGACTAAAAGTATATAAATCCGCCCCTGCCGTGTTATTCTGTCTTTGAAGTAATTTGAAAGAATTTCGGGAACCACTCGTATTTTGTTTTTGAAGTTTGTAGTTTGAAAGCATCTCGGGGACCCCTTGTATCTGGTTTTTGAAGTAGTTTGGCAGAATTTCGGGGGCCCCTTTTACTTTATTTTCGACATAAGTAGTTTGAAAGAATCTTGAGGACCTCTTGTGTCTGATTTTGGAAGTAGTTGGAAAGAATCTCTGGGAAGTCTTTTGTTTTAGTTTTGAAGTAGTGTGAAAGAATCTCGGGGACTCCTTGTTTTTGAAGTATTTTGAAAGAATCTTGGGGTGCATTTTTTTGGTTTTTGAAGTAACTAGAAAGAATCTTGAGGACTCCATGTGTCTAATAAGGTGCCTAAAAATGATTAAAAAGTTAGTTTAATATTTTCTGCATCAATTTATAAACACTACTCATTTCCTGAATCGGCCAATAATAATGGACAACTCTTTGAAAACAATGACCAGTGTAGTCTGCGGGTCCAGCAAATTACTAAAACATCAAAAATATTAATCTGCTCTGATTATAGAGAAAATGTGTCCGTTTCCTAGAAAAATCTGACGTTATTTATGAAGAACTTCATTTGTTTTTAAAAAATAACAGATTCTACTTGACTGAGGCGTGTGTTTTTCCGCAACAATTTATTTACTATTGTTTTTATATCACCTGCTTGATAGGGATGGATATATTTTTTAACATATACATTGTAAAGCCAATATTAAACTAGCAGTTTTGCTAAAATTTCAAGGAAATTTAGTGAACCATTTCTTAAATAATAATAATTGATAAAGTAAGAAAAGTTTTCGCCGGCGAGTTGTTTATTTATTTTATTTTAGGTTCATTTAACGTTCACATCATCAGAGAATTTTTTAGATAATAAGAAATTTTTCCTCAGTACTTTATAATTTCTAGTCAACACCCCCAAAATTTCGAAAAAAATTCCACATATCTAAAATAACCTACAAAATTTGAGGAATTTTTATTTGTTGTAAACACTTTTACAATATTTTTGTACAAAATATGATGAGCCTGTACTTGTCATTTATCACTCCATTCATATTTTTTGGATTTGCATATACAGAGTGACTCAAAAAAATTAATGAATGCGTAAATATATTTTATTGATTTAATCAGGAGCTACAAAACGGAATGCTCTGACATCTTGCAGATGTTTTAAGGTTATAAAGAGCATAATAAATGTTTAGTCAAAATATATTTGCTTATCCCCTCCAAAAACTTGATGACGTCAGCTCGAACATTTGCCGAATAAATCATATCTAAAATGTACAAAATATGATCAGTCTGTACTTGTGATCTATCACTCCATTCATATTTTTTGGATTTGCATATACAGGGTGATTCAAGAAAATAAATGAAAGCGTAAATTTATTTTACTGATTCACTCAGGAACTACAAAACCGAATGCTTCGAAATCTTGAAGATATTTAAAAATTATCATAAGCATGGTAAATTTTTGATCAAAATGTATTTGGTCGTCCCCCCTAAAAAATTTATGACGTCACCACAAAATTTTGCTGAATAAATCCTATCTAAAATGTACAAAATATGGTGAGTCTCTTCTTGTGATTTATCATTCCATTCAAATTTTTTCGATTTGCATATACAGGGTGACTCAAAAAAATTAATGAATGCGTAAATTTATTTTATTGATTTAATCAGGAACTACAAAACCGAATGCTTTGAAATCTTGCAGATGTTTTAAGGTTATAAAGAGCATAATAAATTTTTAGTCAAAATATATTTGGTTATCTTCTACAAAAAACTGATGACGTCAGCTCAAAAGTTTGCCGAATAAATCGTATCCAAAATGTACAAAATATGATGAGTCTGTACTTGTGATTTATCATTCCATTCATATTTTTGGATTTGCATATGCAGGGTGACTCAAAAAAATTAATGAAGGCGTGAATTTATTTTATTTTATCGATTTAATCAGGAATTACAAAACCGAATGCTTTGAAATCTTGGGAATATTTTAAAGTTATTATAAGCATGGTAAACTTTTGTTCAAAATGTATTTGTTCATCCCTCCTAAAAAAATTGATGACGTCACCCTTAAATTTTGCTGAATAAATCCAGTTACAGTTTCTCTGTTTGACTCTCACGTATGCTGTTACGCCTGTCATCTTAAATTAAGAATGTTTATACATACACGATTTTCAGTTGCCTCTGATACGTATACGTGAGTAAATTGTTTCGTTATTTTATTGATTATTACAAATCAATATTCAAAACGACCCAATTCATTTTCCCGAAAACTTGAGAATATAATAATTTTATTCTTAGTATTACACTACATCTATCCCAACTGATATAGGTGTCCTTGCAAAAGTGTTGATGACGTCATCGCAATTTTTTTTTTAAATTCCCACTACAAAAATGTAATGAGAAAAAAAACACAATAGGCATGCAGTCGTCAAGTTTCCGACAGCGAGGGAAGTACTGTCTAAACTCTTTAGACCAATTTTTTTAATTTAAAATTTGTTCTGCAAAACTTATCTTAGTCGTATATTTTGTTACAAATTGTACATTTATACGTAGCTTTATTTTTTAAGACAGTCCACACTGGCATCACTTATCAGTAATAAATAATATACAATAAATAAAGCTTAATAAAAAAGGACAGCATTACTTTTCATGTTATAAAAAGGAAGACATCTGTATAGATTCTCATTCCTCTGTGGTTACCTACAGCGAAAGGTTAAACAAAAAACATGGATAAAGACGCTACAGATAATAGAAGCAATCAGCTAAACCCAAACCATCCATCCTATCAAGCTGGGAGTAAGTTATTGTTTAATAAAATTCTAAAATTTAATCACTCATTTTTTTGCAGCGATTACTCATGGCTACAATTCTGAGCAATATTACAAGGATAATAGATCCGACCAGCTGAATCCAAACAACGAACAATATCACAAGTCAAGGACTGACAATTCCAACAACTCTACCAAGAAATAATGAGCGAACTAAAGAAAAACATGTAAACAAACACATAATAACTGAATAAAAAATTCTTCCGTAAAGAATCTTTACTAAAAACAATACACCCTGTATACAAATTGCCTTAGCTCCCAGTATCGATTAACGCATCCCCACTCTTGCAGCAAACTACAGCGGCTACCACTAGATGGCACACCGAGCAATAATTTCACATAATTTCAGTATTGAGTCATCAAGAGCATGATATTTATCAACAAACATATGACATCATTTAAAATAACCTAAATAGAAATCATATTAAAAAGTAGTCGGAGTTAAATGCGTCTCTTTTTCTATTTTAAAAGCCCTAAGTTATTTTCGCGCTGCATCCGGTGAAGTCCCCGATTTTCTCTGTGTGTGTATTTACAAGAGTATAAAGTCGTGTTAGACGCAAACTCCCAACAGTCGCAACCCAGGCAGCTAACAAAAATGGACAAGGCTGGTGCAGACAATCGAGCCAATCAACTCAACCCAAATCACCCTTCTTATATGGGAGGAAGTAAGTTTTTTTTTTTTAATTTAACACAAAATTTAGTGTTATTGTTCCAGCTGTAACCCATGGGTACAATGACCAAAAATGCTACCGTGACAATAGAGCCAATCAGTTAAACCCAAACAATCCAGCTTATTGGAAGTCTCGATCTGGACAAGAAGCTGCCAGTGAGGGTTGGGGCTGCAACATCGTTTAGTGTTAAGATGTGGTGTTTATGAGAGTAAGAATTTTATGTAGGTAAAAATTGAATAAAAAGTAGTTGGATGAAATTTTCTAATTTCTTACCCCCTAGATTCACATATTGAGAACAATTTATTCCTTTTAAGTACGGTATTGGTGGATCTTTGGTACTGAACAACCTTTGAATAGTAGTACACTTCACTAATAATACTCTGCTTTGAGAACGAATGTTAAATTATTTAATTAAATTAGGCCAACAGATCACAACTGTAATTAATCATCAATCATGCTTTGAGTTAATGAATGTCACCTGATGCAAAACAGATCTACTTTAATTTGGTGAATATTCATATCATGAATGTCAACACAATCAATAAAACCTCTGTCTGACAAAACTTCTTATTAAAATTACTTATTTTCAAAAATTGTATGAATTTTATACGTTACCAGTAAACATCTAAAAATTATTCATTTTAAACTATTATTGGAGATAAGGAACACTAGTACTTTTTGTATCAATAGGTCAATAACCTTCAATCGGAAATTTGGTAATTCCCCGGCAGCAAACTATGCAGACTATTAGCTGGAAAGATAAAATTTTTTGATTGTGCGTCATTTAGAATGTTAACGTGAACGAGATCAATTAACAATGCACCTTGAAACAATTATAAAAATATAAGTAAAAGAAAAAACAAAATCTGAAATTGTGTATAACTGTCTTAGAAAATAAAAGTTATTAGTATTAGATTCAAAATTAAAACTATGTATAATATTGACCCATTTTTTTAATGTCAATATAACAATTTTAGGCAGTTAATACAAGCGGTTTCCCCTATTGCATTAGATGTTAAAAACCACATAAATAAACAGTGGAATCACTACATTTGCATGTAAAACTGATCTTTATCTCCATGCAAATAGTTCACGTAGTCGAAACTTAAAAACTTTGCCGTTGTTAAAATAGAAAACAGGAATATAGGTAATTCCCCTGCATTTTAATCACCTATAATTATTACGCTGCAATTAAGGAATAAACAAAAGAATCTTTTTTTTTGGTACTATATTCTTAACTAAAATAATTCAACTTAGAAAATAGGGCATAGATAAAATTATCCTAATAATGATTTTATCTCATTTGATCGAACTTTTACAGATAACAATTGTACTTTCGCGTTTTATTTGTTTGACCTTCATATATACAGTGTGTTTGTGAAAAACCGTCTGTCTGTAGCTGATTTATTTTAACATCCAACTTTTTTTTTAATAACATCCTATACATTTTTACTTGCCGGACGTAGCTAAGGAAGTGTATTAATCGAGTCCATCGTCTGTCAGTCTGTCTGCCTGTCTGGTCTCTGTATCCATTTTTATTAGACAAGTATCTCCAAAAACTACTGGACCTATTGTTGTCAAATTTTGTATGTATATTAGGAATACCATCTAAATCGGTAAATGCTAATTAAAATTTTGGTAATCATCCCCACCACCGATGGGATGACGTCATCTTTTCTGTGGGACTCAAATCTCTGAACAACGACCCCAGTATTTTGATCGAGGTCTGTTACTAAATGTATTACTATATCCAATCTCTTATAATCACGGTATGAAATTTCTGTCGATACAAAAATAACGTTCTGACTATACTGAACGAAAAACGATATCATAAATTGGTTTATACACTAATTTAATACAATTTCAGTCAAAATTTCTATGTTAATCCATCAATAAGTCTCCTCATAAATTGTTGTTTGTTAATGTCATGTAATTTCTAAAACAGTGGCGATATTTTAGTAACATTTCGAAGAAGTTTAAACATTTCTAAAATGTATAATTTTTAATTTTTTTAGGCGATGTCATCAGTTTTTTAGAGGCTATGAACAAATAAAGTCTTAATATTCTGTTATAAATCTTACTATACTAATAAAATTCTGAAGAAATCTGGTGTTCCAAACTAGTTTTTTTTTTTACTTCATCGTAAGTAATATTAAAAACGAAAATGGGAGTAGTTCATTACACCAAGATTAATTATAATTAACTTTGTATGACTAATTAACGCCTCACTTATGTCACTTCCGACGGAAAAGTACTATTTTGTGTAAAATTATTGACTAGTTACGATTATTTTTATTAAATAAAAAAAAGCAAAATCAAGAGAAAAAAAAGAATGAACATGTTTCTCAAAAATATGTTCATTAGTAGCATAGTTGAAAACCATTGGAAATACTCTACTATATACAAAATAAATAATAATTTCACTCACTATTTATACAAACAATGTTACGCACAAGATAAATTTTTGACGTTGTTCTTTTTGTCTTCCGCACGGATGTACTCAAAATTAGTCACAATTATTACGAATTAATTAAATAATTTTACAACATAATAATGTAAATAATGCTGACAATCTCTGTTTTAACAAAGAGTGCAAACTTCCTAATTGCGGTAAATGAAAGTTGGTCAACCAAACAAACCACAATATTATTCATTCGGTTGCTTTAAAGTCAAACCCTAAGTAAAAAATTGTTTATTTACTAGTGGTTCTACGAAACACGTTTTACATTAGTTTTTCCAAAAGTATCAAAGATGGAATTTGACTTGCTTTGTCTATGTTATTTATTATTTTGAAATATAAGTTAAAACACTCCATTAATTTCAGTCACACTGCGAAAATAAGTGTAGAAATTTGACATAAGTTTTAAATACAAACAAATTATTTGCTACATTTTTTTGACATACTTTTAAATATAATACTTTTTTGTTAGTAAGTTTTCAAGGCATCACTTTATATTAAATATTACTTAGGTTAAAATTTGCCTAGTATGCCGTCGGAAACATTTCTACAATACTTTAGTCATTTGAATCTAGGCTATTCGCGAAAAATGATTTTCCTGCTTTGTAGAAACACAGACACAGACTTCATTGACCACAAAAACAAAAATCCAAAATTTAGAAAACTGAATCTAACTGCTTAAAAAAATAACTGGGTGTCATCATGGCTCCATCGATCAACAAATACTACAAACAAACTCATCGTTTAAACGCAACACCGAAATGATTTTACACTCCACCTCGCAACATTGTCTTAAAATCTTGAAAGATAAACTTTTTGCTCTTGTATATCTAAATAAATAAACACAACACCGCCTCACAATTTACCAATTTTTATTTCGACGTGATAAGGTTTAGAGTGGTGTCAGTGTTCAAACACTCGAATCCAGCTAAAAATCTTCCGACTGTTTTATTAAATAATAATTTATACAAAGTGTTATCATTGTCGTTGAGTAAAATAAACAAAAAATCTTCATAAATTGTGCTACAAGCCCAAGTGAATCCCCTTTTTACAGAAAGAGACTTTGGGTCGATATATAAAGCACCCACCAATAGTGAAACAGGCGCAAGAAGCTAGTACGCGATTAGTCCGTGTTACTGTTAATAACAAAGTGAGATTGTCCTTCGAATACTCATCACGATGGATAAAAATTCCAAAGATAATCGCTCAAATCAGAAGAACCCCAATAACAACGCCTATTATTCCAGCAGGGGAGATTCAAAGTCAAGTAAGTCCCAGTTTCTTCAATATTTTGCACTTTTATTAAAACATTTAAAAAGTAACTCACCTGAATTTCTTCTAATTTTGCAATATTAGGCCGCGAAATATTTAATAAATTAACACAATAAACTGTGTAAAACTGGATCGTCACAGAATGCAGTTACGTAACTCCACATAGTGACGAACTAACAGCCGATAAGAAAAATTTGTGTATTTTGGAATAAATAAATATATGTATATACAAATCTTTTCCCTCTTTATCGATCGGTTTTCGATTGGTTTAATGCTCGGTAAACATTTAAGCATAATGGCCGACAAAAGTTAAGAATTTATACTTAACGTTTTAACGTTCAGCTTTCTTTCTTCTTTCGCCTTTTTTTGTAAAGGTTACATTTTTGCTTTTTAAAAAATACGAAGTGGGTTAAATGCAATCGCTGTGTGTTTTTTAATATAACAAATTCCGTTATTTTTACATCATTGCATAGTTTTGAGATTATTCATTAATGATTAAGATGTCACAAATCATTTTTTCTTTGTGGATGCTGTCACGGAGTTATGCATTAAATAGACAATTGTTATCTATCATTTCCACAATATTAACAAATAAAACACATATTTTGATTAATTTCAGCATAAACCCTTGACAACTAAATTCATTTTTCAGGCTCCTCATCGTCCAGTTATTCAAAGCAAGAACAGGACAACCGGTCCAAACAAATGAATCCGAACAACGATGCCTATTACAATTCAAGAGGAAAGAAGTAACCCTAGAACCAAAGCAACAAGTTACTTAATATTAATATAACTCAAATCACTTATTTTCATTAGAAATTAGAACACCAGTTCAAGTACTTAAGTATGTAAGTCAGGATAGAAAATATAGACAATATATTAATAAAACTTTTTTTCTGTGTCTTATTTCCACAACATTTGAAGTGAAATGGTCAAAATTAATGTTATTATCAGTGTAAAATTTTTTTAAGGAAGTTAATGTTTAACTAGTTCAATTGATTAAAGTTCAGTAGAATTTCACTTTGAAAAAAGCGCCTTTCTCTCTCGAATAAATTTATTTAAATTTGTGGATGCCATAATTATTTCTCGATCAGAATCTATTCTGTTTGATTGACGTTGATCGGCTGATAAATTCTTCGGATAAGGCCACTATCGATATGCATAGAGATAAAAATCTAACCGTTGTGACATACGATAAGTCAGGCGAGTGTTTCGTATTATTAATTACACTTAAGAGGGTCTAATGCATCATTAGTTTTTAAAACACACTAACACTGTAAGCGCCGCAGTAAAAGGTAATTTAACCTGGAAAAAACTTCCTCGTAAATTAGGTGATGCATTGTTAAAAATTCTAATCAATAAAATCAAAGTAAATAAAAAAGTAAAATAATGACACCAAAAATAATTTAATTAGTAAGAATTTTGGCTGGGATGAATTATGTACCGATTATTATTATTATTCACTAACTTGATTTAGGTTTATACGTGGTTACACTGGCAAGAACATTTTAATACGGTTTAACTTAGACGCGAATTTTCACATGAATCAATCCACTTTTTCACAAAAATTCAGGAAAACTAACTTTCGTTTTGAGCTTTTGTGTATTAATCGTGAAAAAAAATTTTTCGCCGCAAATATCATGTGATTCACTGTGGTTTATAATCGGATTTTTTCGTTTTAACAAACTATTATAGGTCACGGTCTACGCTGGTTGATTACACCCTCCCTTGGTCAAAATTGTATAATCCTAACCGCAAAGTTTAATGCGGCTATTATTATATCTACTATAGGTATAATTATGAACGCCTATATACAGGAAAATAGAAAAAAAAAGGAGGTTTAAAATTCTGGTCAATTATATTATTTATTATCACATGTACATTAAATGATCACAGAATTTTAAAAATATATACATTTCGTGGCCTACCAGAGGACTTTTTCTCAATTTTATAGTACCTTTCTTTTTGTTAGAAAAGTATAACACAAAATCGGAATCACCCGAATGAAAAGTGTTCCAGAATTATTTTCTAAAATTCCTGCGGCTTTATGTTGATTTGTAGTCATCGAACAAAAAACTGTTATAAAATATCTAGATAGAAAGATTAACCTAATGCCTACGAATCGCCACAAATGAATTAAAAGAACCCAAATTCGTATTGTCTGATATAAAGTTATAGAAAAGTTTTTTACTGGTTCTGATATACCGTTTTATTACAAATGTTTAATGTCAAGGAAACAAATATCCAATATGCTTTAAGCAAAAATTGGGAAATTCCTCATTGCGAGTTTTTTTTTTGTGAAATTACGCTATTAATTGTATAAACCTGGTAATCTAAGGTTCTGAGATATCATTTACATGTCATAATCTCTATTTCAACTATTACGAGTAGATGTATAAACCAATCAAGCAGACGTTAAAACAGCACACCTCAAGCAGCCGCCACTGACCCACTCTTTTCTTACTACACGAATTACCTTTTACTGTATCTCCAACTATGTATTTTCTTTTTACCGATGATTGAAGTTGCAAACTATTCTTGCCAATCGTCCGCTATTCCTTGTTTCAAAATTTTTTGGACAATTTTTTCCAGACATGACATCCAAAAATCATCCTACTTCAAGTATGGTAATAAATATACAAGTCTACTAAAAAGAAACTCAAAAGGCTTCCACGACATGGTAGAATTTAAGCCGAGTTTCGACGGTACCAATTTTGGAACGTTTCGTTCATTTTCGTACTAGACATTCTTAGAAATTTAAAAACAAAAAGAAAATTTCGAAAAGAAGATACCGGTTCTGGAGATGAGCAAAAAAATTAATTCAGAACTGTCACAGTCCAAGTCAAAAAAACGTCTACCTGTTATTAACTATAACAGTAAAAAGTTATCGTTTGCAAATACCCGGGCCACCCATATTTTTGGTTTTTCAAAGATCCGAAAATGACAAAGTACGATTTCGGCTGCAATACTTTGATGTTGTTATGCAACGTTTATTGTATTTTTTTTTTATTCAAAAAGAACTAAAAAATACATATTTAAATAGAAAATGATAAAAATTCAATAATAATAATTAAACAAAGCTGAAAAAATTAAAGTTTCCAAAAAAAGCAAAACCAATGATCATTGACACACTCTTCAAGGACGTCAGCAACCGGTATCTCCCCCTCACGAACTTGTGAGATTGCAGCCATTCTCCAGGGCATCCTACGAAATAAACTATCTACCTAGTGCTTGTTAAGGTAAGACTAATTTTGGCAAACAATATACCCTCTACGAAAATAGAGGGCGGTGGGCGGGGTTACTACTTGCTGAGATACGACTGAACAATATTAAGAGTAGCTCCCAGGCGCGGATTTTAGGGGGGGGGGGGGGCAATTTTTGTGCGATTTTACCTATCTCCCAGAAATTAGTTCTAAACAAAGAAATTTATAAAACTTTAGCTAGTATACTCTTTTTCACATAACATGGGCGACATTTAGTTGTTTTCGTTACACGTAGGTATAGTGTACAGTAGAACCTCGATAATCCGAATTAATTGGGAAAAAGGTGTGTTCGGATTAACGATTAGTTCGGATCAGCGATTTTCCCAAAAATCTGAAAGGGAATTGAATAACAACTGCATACACAGTTGAAAACAAACTTCAAGAAATAAACCTTAATTCTATTACAGAAAATTAAAGAATTCTTAACAATGGATAATAGATATGTACGTTCTAAAAAAATATTACTCCGTGATCATAAACACGCTATCTTATTGGAATCAACACGCCGGTATCTATACCCTGAATTTTTTCAGAATTTTTAGATGAATTTTTCAAAAATGAAATTTTCCATTATGTATTTATTACCTCCATATGCAAAGTTCGACCCATTCTCGACGATTTTCGAAATTTAACTAAATACATTTTCTTCTAGATTTTGGGCCTCAGAAGTCACTTCTGACTTCATTTCTTCGATAACTTAAACCATTTTTCCAAATTCGTCCAGTTGAAATATCGCAATTTTTAAAAATTTCGAAAAATTCAAATTTCACACCGAATTTTCCGAAAATATCGCTCGGTTATCATTAACATGCTATAGTTTTGGAATCAGCACGTCGGGATATACATATATCCCTGAATTTTTGCAGAATTTTTAGGAAACTTTTTTAAAAATGAAATTTTCCTCATGTAAATTTCGACCCATTTTCGACGATTTTCGAAATTTAATTAAATACTTTTCTTGTAGATTTCGGGCCTCATTTCTTCGATAACTTCAACCTTTTTCCAGAATTAGTTAATTAATTCAGTGCATTGAAATATCGCAATTTTAAAAAAATTCAAAATATTCCATACAACATATGCAGAAAGTTTTGCGCCGTTTTGCAAGTAGGTGCGTGTTTCCAAGTTCAGTTCGGATTGCAGAGTTTTTGTTCGGATTAAAGAAGCATCGACTTCAAAAATTCTGTTCGCATTACTGGATGTTCGGATAATCGTGAATTCGGATTATAGAGGTTGTACTGTATTTACAAAATGAAATGCGATTTCTAAATTTTGAAACACTCTTTAGAAAAAAGCTAAACTCAACCCCGCCCTATTTCTCTATTTCACGGATTCATTTTAACAAGTGGTAGAATCTAAGATTTAAAACGAAGTAAAAGCTGCCCCGCCCACCCACGCCTATTCCGTTTTGATCATTCATTCTTATTGGCTCTGAAAAACGGAAATTGGACTTTATATTGATAAATTAATTGAATCTAGATATTACAATTTAATTTTTACTAACCTGTTTCAATTTTTAGATTTTGAAATTTTTCGATCCACAATTTCACGAGTTTTCAATTTTTGATTTTTCAATTTTTCATTTCTTCCACTTTTCGATTAGAAATTTTCCACTTTTTTTTTTCTTAGTATTTGCTAAGATAAGACTGATTTTAGCGAATGACATAGCCTCTAAGAAACTAGAGGGTGGGTGGGCGGGCCTAGTACTTGTTAAAATAAGACTGAACGATATTAAGAGTGGTCACTGGAATGAAGAGGGGGTACGTGGGCGGGGCTACTCTTTGCTTATAACGTTCTTTGGTAAAAAGCTAAACTCCGCTTCGCCCACACCTTTTCTCTATTTCTTTGTCTATTTTCTCTATTTACTGTAAAAGCGGAATTAAATTGTTCAATAATAACTTGAGTTGGCAATTCTGTGAAAAATTTTTCTTGCTCTACTATTGCCGAACCTGAACCAAACAATTTGCGCTATCATTTTAAGCGTTCAAGATTATGACATTTTAATAATAACGAATAACAAATTTCGACTTGAATTAAATGTCACTGTTGACAACAGGAACTAAGGTGAGGTGACAGTTCTTTTAATTTCAAGCCAAATTTGTCCATACTAACTGAAACAATGATTGGCGAAGTCGCTGTATAATGAATTTAATAATTAGGTAAGTCGACTTTCAACATTATGAATTGTTTATATTGTGGTTTCCGAGTTTGTTGTTTGTTCGTCGCTGACAGCCTCTAAATTTTCAAGAAAATAATCTAGATAAGAATGAAGAAAATGCACTTTTAAAGACATTCAACATCCAGCTTTTTGGTAGTTTTTCAACAAATTGTCTAGTAAATCTCGGCAATTGTCTGATTTTTTATTGCCCAGAAACCCATGGACAAGTCCACGCAGCAAGTTCGGTTAAATTTAATTTTTTTAATCTATTTTCAAGTAATTTTCTAATTTAATTTTTTTCTTCTTGTTAAATAAGAAATATATTAAGTTATTATGATTTTAAAATGGGTCAATATTGCATCCTAATATATAATGAAAATGGATATTTTTACTTAAAACAGACCATTTTTCGATATTGAATGAAGTGTAGCTGGGAAACTTGATAGAAAATTAGTTAAAAAATAGTTAGCCAGTGTTATTATTAATCGTTTTCTAATCTGTCAACAACAGTTTATGTTCAGATTCTTAGCTGTTCCTGGTTCCAACACAATTTAACTGTCATGAAATTATTATTATATTATTAAAATATGTATATAAACCGCGTGTTAGGAAATTCACTTATTCAAGCTTCATTATTTTGTTTAACAAGTTATAACTAAAGTTTCAGGATGTTTTTACTTAAGAATTATATTGTAACACACTACTTCTTAACTGATTGAAAGAAAACGGATCTTGAAATGTTACCCTCATGGACTCGAAAATCGAGAGCGCTTTAATATTTTTACAATTTTAATAGTTTGTTTCATGTGTAGTTACATATTTTCATGTAGGTTTAATAATATGTATTTCATTCCTCTTGGTCAGGAATTTTTCTGAAGATATTTTTTACAAAATTGAACGAAAGTCGACCCTTTTCCAAAACTAAGACAAGTTATTCAAACTTGGAAAACCTTTTTCATTTTGGACGTTAAGTGCGACAGTATTTAAATGAAACTTTTCCTGGCAGATGGATAGGCCAAAGGGGTACTATTAAAAGGCCTGCCAGATCACCGGATTTTACACCGCTTGACTTTTTTTTTGTGGGGCTATTTGGAAAATCGGGTTTATATCAATAGACCGATCCACATTGAAGACTTACAGGAACGCATACGTACCGAAATTACTAGCATTCGTCCAGAAATTCTCGTTAACTCACTACAAAATTTTGTTCAGGCGTTTTTTTCACTGTCAGGAAGTAAATAGAGAGCATTTTGAGCATCTTTTGTACAAAACAGAAGTTTAATTTTGGTTTCGATTAATTTATTTCGCCATTTCAATCAGAAAGAAAGTATGATTGTGTTATATCAATGAATTAAAAAAAAAATGAATTCAAAAATTCATTAATTATGTATATGGTAGTGCCATTAAAAATAAAGAAGCAAAAAAAAATTTTTGGCGAATACTTCGTGTACCCCTATACCTAATTTCAGTTGATTTATGTAAGTGGTTCTCAAGATATTTAACCGTTTCCATGCATTCTAGCGACCCTGTATAGAAGAACCACTCTTCCATGCCTTGGCAAAAAACAAGTGTAGTATATTCTAAGCGCACCCATTGCAATAATCCAAGCCCATTTCCCTACAGCTCATATTTTCCCACTTTCACGCCACCTATATTTATTAACATTTTGCAATAGCTTACACCAGCGTGAGAGCTGACCGAATATTTTCACCCCTCTTCGCCTTCTTAATTTCACCGTGATTAATGCGACTGGCTGTCCACAGAAGCCGATTTCTTACCGTCAATTTTCGGGATTGACTAATGCGCGTTATTTAAACTTCTCTTCACGCTCGCTCCGTGTAATTACAGTTCGACTTTTCTTATTGTAAGGTATTAAAAGCGACCGGGAGTCCACAGCGTAATTACACTTAATATCAATAAGCCTCATGCGGAATTAATTTGCCTCGAGTATCGCCCTTCGCGACAATTTCTCCTCACTATTAGTTGCGCTCTTCTGCGAACTGCTAATCGTTACCGCAATCATTTATCTCATTCACAGATTCGCTCGTAATGAGCGGACCGCCGAATGTTGTTCCTCCGGTGAACAATTTCAGAACATCACAAAGCATCTGCACTGCAAGATAAATGATTGCTTTAATAATTATTATTGAGCCAATATTGCTTGCCTGCAATCTGTAATTATTTTAAATTAAATACACCGCTAACATCTAAGGAGTCAAGGTCGGTGCGCTAATATGTAGTTTGAAGGTATTAATTAAATTCATTAGTTTACAAATATTTGTAGGTATTATACATTAATTACTTTTCAGATGAATACCCGTCATGTAATTCACTCCTCTGTGATTGATTTCATAACGAATTACTAATAATTACCTTTCGATAAAAAACCGAGCCGACGAATTCGTTCAGAATTCCTCCATTAAAACAAGTCGTAGGATAAACATTTTATTTGTTTCTACTTTTTAACAAAACTAAAAATAATATCACAACACTTACACTCTTCTTAATCCATAATCAAATGGGCGGTTTCTGAAAACAATCCTGAATTTTACAGCGTAAGTATTAAAAACAGAATAAATAATTCGAGTCGTTTTTGACAAATAAAACTCGCAACTAAAATATAAGCATAACATCTGACACTAGCACTACACTTTACTTTGGTCATTCTTATATACACAGTAGTAAGAAAATAACTTTGACTCTTACAAATAAAACGTTCGGGAGAAAAAGGGAAAGAGAAGATGGAATACAGTATAACATTCAATAAGAATACTAAAAACAAACAGGTACCTAAAGATATATAAAATTAACTAAAACTTACTACAATTCATAATACACTGGCCTTAAAAAATATATTAAATCCATTCGAACATTTGGCTCTTTACCGTGTCTAAATACTAGTTTATGAACATTTTAAGGTCACGTTTAAAGCTTCCAATCAACTTGAACTAGTAAAAATTAAGACAGATCAGCTGAATTAGTAGATAATTTGAATGATGCGTTGTCGGAAATTGAGGGATTGTCTACGACTAAAGATATATTGTCTCCCCCCTGAGTTTCTTCCAATTCATTTTCTTCGAGTAATGGAACACCTGCAATATCACATTATTCATTAAAACACTAATGTTACAACAAATAAAAAATACTTTAATACAGAAAACATACATTATTTCATAACTCATGTCTACAATACGAACATAAAGACACTCAAACAGATCGACTTATTTTTGACATGAGCGACTTGGAAATTTTCTGTCCCATAACCTCAATGTTACAAAATCATGGATGTTTTTGTGTACGACATCACATAATTTCTTGCACATTTAAGGAGGATTTTAACTTTTTTATAAATTTTCTATTAACTTTTTGCAAAAATTCACACACAATTCTTTCTTTGTGTACATACCCTGATTTCAAAATTACGAAAATAAGTATGATCAGAAAAAAACAAAAAAAAATAGTTCAGAATTGACGATCTTTATTTATATTCACTTCAATCATGTACTCAGAACTATATCGTGGGAAAAAAACTTACTCTGTATAGGGAAAACTAAGTCTGAAAAATGCATCATAAAATTACGCTGTTACGAGTTGATAAATTCAACAAGAGTATATTACGTTATAAAATTTGGATAACTTTTACTACACAAAATGATGAACTGAGGCCATAAAATTGTTGGTGAGGTTCAGTGGACAAATTTTGGTTACCGTTTTACCATCTGCACAATATTCTTAAAGCACATAAAATTTGACAACGATCGTACTCTAGGGGTCCTGAAACATCGAAAAAACATGAACGTAGCCAAGTCAAAATAAAAAATATATTTAGCCCACTAAAAAAATGAACTCAGTTAAGTCATCGGAAGATTATAATTATATTTGGAGTTCTTTATGTTAATTATTAATCTAATTTTAAAACTTTTGCTTTCTATTAACTGAGACATTAAAGGCGAACATGTAAACTGAGACCCCCGGTATATTACAACGAAATTGGACAAAATAAAGTCATCCTAAAAGTGTTGGAAGTGGGTCAAATGATACTGGGCATATTATTAGAAATATTTTTTTTAACAAACTGAACTAATTGGTTATTTCCTTATTTCATCTACTCATGATATGTTTACAGTTCCACTTTCTTAAAGAAAGAAAAAATGGAGTGTTTCCGATGCCCTCAAACAGTTCCCACATTTGGCAGGCAAAAAAGTAGCGACAAAATTGAATTTAGAAATGATAACTTCCATAAATTATTTTTATTATTTATTTATTGTTCAGAACTTATTTCAAAAACTATTTCAGCGCTGAATGTGTGTGTTGATTCGGTACACACATTCATTGTAAGAATTGTGCAAATATTTTGATTGTGTCTGAAAATCATAAAGTTTGAAACAGCCCACAATGTTGAATACTCTAAAACATACACGTGTCTTAGATAACACATAGCGTTTTCATTCGATGTTGATAGCTCGAGTTTCGCACCTATTGTTAGAGATGAGTCACTTTTATGGGGTCACAGAAAATGCATTTGTCGGCTTTTTTGTAGCAAATTATACACACCTGGACACAAATACGTGAACTTTGTTATATTTTCACAACTTAAAAAAATCTAAAAATTAAATTTTACAGTTCATAAGACTGCAAACAATATGGTCACCAGTGAATACTATAATTAATACATGAAAAAATTGACTTTTTCAACTCTAAGTCTCTCAATTTTTTTAAGACAACCTTAAAACGTATTCTAAAGCTAGGACATGTATTAATGTTATCATATCTACAAGTAATTTTAGGTATATTCACCAACAGTATCATACTACTTTGACCGTTAACAAGCAAACATTACGTAACAATGTACATGCTTTAAAAAGTAGAACACTTGGTCAATCCAACCATTTTTTTCCTTTTTTTTTTATTTGTTTATTTGCATTAAAATACGTCAATGTGATAAATTTCGAACATCAGATGTGACACCGTTTATACAGGGGGAGAGTCATTTTCCGAGAAAAAGAGCTGTGCACCCATATAACCCACAACTAGCTTCTAAGAACATCTTGTGTAAATTTTGATATGATAAAATTCTGGACAAACAATCTAAATTGGCTACTGGCGCCATAACATTTTCCTCCTGCCAAAAATTAATACAAACCACACAAGATCTCCACACCTACCTTCGGTATTGACAACGGAGCTGGTGTCAAACGAAGCCAAACTTCCGCAGTGGACCCTGCAGGACGCCGGCTGCGAGCCACTGTACGAAGAAGCGGTGTCCAAGGTGACGTTGGTCGATCCTTCGGACACGGCGACCGTGTCTGTCGACCCCATGGAGTCTCCGGCCGACCTGGTGCTCGGCGTGTGCGAAGCGCTGGAATGACAAAAATTTCCAAACACTTTCGCAGAGGTTTTATGGTACGACGCGCGCTCAAAGTGGACTTCCTTCATTAATTAGCGGCGACTTACGAAGTGTGACGCGGTAATGGGATTCAATTGCACTTGAAGGCATAATTTTCGATTGCAAAACTATAAACACAAACGCGGAAATTACCGAGTTGTCAAGCCCACGGGTAATTATGGGAACGAGTGCGGTTAATTTGTTGATTTATGTACAATTAGGCGATTTGTCGCGAATAAAATCCGGAACGGAGGCTGCTGGTCGCATTTTATGCCTACACTCGGGAGGGGTTTTTAATATTTACGAAGGATAAAGTGGTGTCGATTTACCATACAGTTTCAGTTACTGAAAAATTCTTGCAATAAAATACTTAAGGCGATATTTCATATAGGGTTTGTTATCGAGTTGGAAATTTAAGCGTCTTGTGGCTACTCCACAAACAGAATCGGAACCGTAAAGGAGTCGGGAACAATACAATTTTTGCCGGGATTCGCAGTTCCAACACAACTCCAACAAACTGTAAACGGAAACGCCGTACCTAAGCGCAACGCGGTAGAGGGAGGATCAAATTTCCTATCTTGTCTATAAGCCACTAATGTCAACCAAAGGGTGCATATTTCATGAAAAGTAATTGCACTATTCAAATTTTTATTTCCGATTCCACTTGCGTAGTAACTATAAACCATGTTTTATTCTAATGACGCAAAACGTTATAATTTGTGTATTTCAACTATTGATCCTACACAAAGAGGGTAAAAGTACATAAAAAAATAAAAACGCTGAAAGATAAATAACTAAAATCCGGCAAACTCAAGAATTCAATTATTTAGAGACTACTAACGGGTTTTCCACAGCTGCACACTGCTCGTTCTAGAACTGTCTCTTTTTACATTTGATTTGGATTTTCATTTCACCGTATTTGGAGATTTTTTTCATATTGTTTTTATTTTGTCATATAGTTGTGTACATTTTATTATTTCAAGTCGTTTCTATACTTTATTCCAGCTTAAGTTAGCATAGAAAACCCAATACATTTATTATCAGTTATTTTATGCAAAAGGATTTGAAGCAACATTGTCATTTGGTAAGAATGCAACGATTTGCTTAATAAGTCGCTACATGAGTCTTTCATGTTTATCATATTTCTAAAAAGTTGTGTCGTTTCACATGTATTGCACATAAATTTCCATTTTTATGTATTAAAATTTCATTTCATATGTCATATTACAGTATATGTTTGACGTTTTGTATTAGTTGATTCTCACAGCGAAATTGCTACTTTTTACGCTTTGAAATTATAAATATAAGGGGTGAGACCACCCCTATAAATCTTTATTGTACCAACCCAATGGAAATTTTTTATCTGATTATAATTCTACAGCTGTAATGCAGTGTTATGTATACTTTACAAATATATTCGAAGGACAGCAATTTGTAGTTTATATGATGAAAAATCTCGGGCTTGCTGGTATTCAAGTTTTGTAATACAATAGACAGGAGTTCTTTTTGTATTTTATGTTGATTCGTTAATTGTTAAGCAGAACACAGAGTACGTAATTTGAAATGTAAAATAATGTTGTCAGATAATAATGTTTACAGTTTCTTGCCTTGTACCGAACAGGTATTTAATCTATTTACGGATGAAATTGGTTCTATTAATTGTTCAAGGTTTGGTCTTTTTTTTCCAACTGTTCAACGCTATGTTGGTTATGTTTATATATTAAAAATTTATCCAACGATACGTTCGCAGTTTTTTACTTTTCGATTTTTTTTCAAAGTTACTCCTACAAAACTAACGTTCAAAACTACTATGTTCTGTCACTTTTTAAAAGTGCTGGACATTATCGGTTCGACTAGAGACCAAATAAATGAAATCCTATTTAATGGTAGGACATTATCTTTAAATTACATGTTATTCCATGTTTGCTTCTGCATCAATTTTTGTTACACTGAGTTTTACATAATCCAGTAATTAGAATCCTTAAAATCCTTCTAAATTAGGGTTTGGTAAACAATGAAGTTGGGTCGAAAGGTCACACTCCTAATGATTTAAGCCTGTACTAAATTCTGTTATTGTAGGCTTTACTCATTGCTACCAAATAACAGAACATACTTAATATACAACTTCGTTTTATAAAACGTTTCAGTAGGTATTCAAGAGATTTTTAGACAAAAGTTAGCTGAACTTTATTGTTATTTAGAAATCATATTATCAATTTGCAACATTTCTAAAATTTGTCATTAAAATTTAAAATGCCGACAATTATTTTGTTACAACAAAAAAACTGAATAACAAGGTGCCATCAGCAAATGAAAAAAAGATAGTCTCCAACTCAAGCGTGAAAAGTTACTAATGAGAATAATAAACATACTTTCTGTAATTTTTAAAGTTTTTAAATATTTGTCAATTAAAAAAATTTTGTAGGTGAGTCGCGCAACTTTGAAAATTTCATCTTCTGACGAGCGAAAACCCAGTGACACTTTTTCAAATTATCTATTTAGGAAAGACCTGCACACATGGATTCACCAAAATGGTTGAGTAACCCCATCAAAATTGAAAATGAAGGATCAAGATTTACAATTCTACACGCTTGAAGTCAATTTGAGGTTTTAGATGGTTGTAACTTTTTATTAAATCAAAAAACAACGATAGAGATTATCACAAACCAATGGACGGGGCACTTTTTCAAAAATGAGTGGTTAATCAACTTATTCCAGCTTTGGTTAAGTTGAACAAAAAATGTCTGGTGGTTGTGGACAACGCACCATATCATTGAGTAGAGGCCGTGCGTTTTCAGATAAGCACAGTGAGTCATCGTCGTCTGACAAGTAGAATTCCACCAGTGGCGGAACAGTGAGTTTAGTAAAGAGAGGTCGTTTGTACACGATTTTGAAAAATTTTGTTTAGATTTGCTGCGTATCTTTATTGTAAATTAAATATTGTTATTAATATTTTTTCTTTATTTTATTATTTTATAAATTATAAAAAAGTCTGAATTTATCAAGCGGAAGTATGCCACACTTCATATTGTTAAAAATCAAATATTATCGAGAGTTTAAAAATGGATATAAACACTTATTACGGCCCAATTTCGAGATTTGCTCTTGTAGTTAGGTTATAATCAATCTAATTTGTGTTTCTATGTGTACTATTTACAGTAGATTAAAACAAAAACAATACGAATTACTACAAAATTTATTATATTATATGTTATTAAAATGGTTCTACGCCCTCGATTTCTGTTAAAACAAATTTATTTGAATTGTTTTAAAACAAAAGCAATACGAAGTACTACAAAATTTATTATTTCATAATTATGTTATAATGGTTCTACGCCCTCGATTTCTGTAGTTGAAGGTTCCTCTTCTTCGTCGCTTGAGCTCCATTCGTCATCAGAGTCACCGGTATTTACAACAAAAGACATTTCGTCTGATATTTTATCAAATAAGTGTTCTTTTTGTAGGTACTCATTGACAATTTTGTCTGTGTGGTCACATATACGACCCCAATCTTCTGCTGTAATTTCAGCAAAGCGTTGACGTGCCAACTGCTCAACGTCATTTAACCTGCAGTTCATATTCCTCGTCGCTACCCAATTTTTAACAAGCGCCCAAATTTTTTCAATTGGGTTCAACTCCGGATGATATGGTGGCAGTCTAAGCACTCGATGTCCACATGTTCACAACAATGTATTTACTGAAGCTGATGCACGCCAATGGGGGATGCGACCACCCCTTAAATTTAAAAATAGACTTGGCCCGACTCATTTTCGTTTTCCACGCAAGTTCATCTGAAAACGCACGGCCTCTACAGTTGGGCAAGCCACCAACATTATTTAGTAAAAAAAGTCAATTGCAAGAATTGCTGTATAATCATGGTATTGAATTTGAACAAAAATTTTCGAAAAAACAATTGTGGGAATTAATTAAACCTTTTAGGACAAATACACAAAAGGGTTATTTGGCAGACTGGAAAAACATATGGGAAATTTTTCGTATAAAGACATTCCTCTTTTAATTATTTCGCTAGGCGAATCGGATTCAGAGTCAGAATCAGAGGACGATGATCATGAGTTAAATTTTTATACTGAAATAATCGACATTGCAGAGGATGTTTGTTTTTAACTTCTGAAATTGTTTAACTGAAATGAATTACCATTCTTTAAATGACCGTTTTATTTTATGTTTTAATACTTTTTGTTCATTATTTCATAGTTCTGGATCTCAGTGCATATGTACTTCACAAATTTTTGAGTCAAGCACTTCATATTTTATAAAAAAAAAATCCAACAACATGAGTATATATAATTCGTCATTTAGTTGTTAATTAGGTACACTTTATTACAGTTTATTTTTGACCTCAGGACGGTTTCCTTTTTGGATATTATTCAAATAGCTGTAAAAACATACATATAGTTTGCCTTTTGATCCATGTATTCCACCATCATCTAGAACTAGAATGAACACTCCTGGAACACAAGAAGCGTGCAAAAGCGATGTAGACATTATTCAGTTATTTACTCCTTTTCATTATTCTATGTTAACTGTTAAGAATAATTATATAATATAATCAAAAATGATGAAACGGATTATTAAACTTAAAACTTAATTATTGATTATTCAAATGTGAATTTTAAATTTGATTATATTGGCTATAGTTATTAAATACTGAAATAATAATGGTTTATTTCAGTGTTTTGAATCGTACTTTTTGGAATAGAAAATACAAAGTGTGAAATTATAGTGTTACAGTTTTGGTCAGATTTTCTAACCTTACATTAAAGACAACCTAATATGATAAATTCAATTTTGTCATCAGGGGTCTTTGCATATACGAAATTGGTTGCCACCCAAATTACTAGAATTTACATGGCCTATCTTTGCCTAAAAACCTCCTGAACAAGTATTGGCAAACTCTGCTTTAATAGTTGTTTATGATGTAAGTGTTAAAAATGTCAAATTATTTTTCGAGT